TCGTCGCGGTTCATTAAAAGGTATCCTCATCCGGTAAGGTCGTTAGTCAAATACCAAGACCGTGACATTTACACATTTGTCAGGATCTCAGAATGGCCATTGGTGAGACTACCGGGTCAATAAAGTCGATGAGATTGAATTCAAACTGTATCGAAAGCCAAAATTCCAAATTTACAATGTGCAAAGCGAAGAAGGAAGTGGGCTGTAATTCGGCCAGGTGGTTTTCTATTCTGCACCCTTGGTTTTTAATTCGTATCGATCTAAAGTGTGTGCAAACCACCGAATCATTCGTGCATTGAAGAGAAATTATTCTTTAGAAATATAAATATACTTCTATTAAGAGAAATGTTACTTCGTTGGTCACTATGGAAATTATATATCGATTAGTGTAGGACTTTTATATCAGGGCGTTGTTTCTATAATAAGAGACCTTTTATAATTAATTAGTCTAACTAACGAAACATCAAAAATGACTCAATTAACTGCGTCATATCTGTTTATTATGAGATAACTTTGTTCATCGTCATCAGTGAGTTTATATAGTATACTGTTTATTTAGAAATCGTGAGATGCGGTCTGGTGTGATGTCGGTTTCAGAAAAACATTTTATTTATCGTGCCAACTTTTCGATCTTTATTGAGATCATCTTCAGGGCTCAAAGTGTTTGTCTTCTATGTAATTGTGCCATTCTTGCGTGTCGTGTCGAGAGTGCCCCGAGAATGGCACAATTACATAGAAGACAAACACTTTGAGCCCTGAAGATGATCTCAATAAAGATCGAAACGTTGGCACGATAAAGAAAATGTTTTTCTGAAACCTACATCCCACCAGACAGCGTGTAACGATTTCTAAATAAATATCGATTAACGGTCACTAATCACCACACAAAGTATACTGTTTTGATGCCGGAACAAATCCGTCCGAATCATTCCTTGCATTGTCCAAAAGCATTTTAATATTGCAATAAATTATAAAATTGTCTGTTTTTCTTATTGAACTTTATTCTGAGACTTTAACATTCTAGTATAGTGACCTTACCGGAAAGTGAATATGTAAGGGTTTGTTAATTTAACGATTGGTCTTACGTTTCGGAATAGATCGCTTATGACATCCAAGTACGAAGATAAAATTGTTTTTTCCGGTCTAAATCACATTTCTACCGATACATCTGTGTCGCGTGAATTGTTGTTCTGGATGAATCAGGTTCCAAAGGGATTGGTTGAACCTGTTGCGAAAAATCACATCGGGTGCCAGCTTCTGCAGTCAGTGTTGTTGATTGAACTCAATATTAAATGATTGACACAGAAACCGATCTTCATTGTCTTGACTTTTCAATATACTATTAATTGTTCTTATTCGAACTGGTACAGATCTAATATTAACTATTTATTTACGTTATGTGAATTTTTAATTTTTTTAACCCCTTTTAGGGGTTGTTTCACCCAGCCCCGAGCTGAATTAATTTTTTGGAACGAATGAAATATATTAGCGTGAAAGGAAGGTGTTGTTTAACTCCGCTCAGATGAATATCGAATCCTCTGGGGTGAGTGTGGGATGTCTGTAGTGATTAGCGTCTGTAGTGTATATATTAGCGAGAATGGAGTGGGTTCGACCATGCCCCTAGGAATGTGGAAAGTTGGAATTTGAAATTAGGATATGATTTTATCTATTCTGTAGTTAACAACCTGAGGTACAACTGAGAGGCTAGCATGCCAGAATATCGACTTGGTTTTCGTCTACATAAAAGCAGAGTCGTAAGAAGAGCAGACTTTCAAATGACTGTAGGTTGAAAAATACGCTTGAAAGGCCAGAAAAACTTGTAAAAACACGCAGAGGGTCGGCGATGACCTCAGCTATTTGTTGGCCTCTTAACTTCCCACATTATTATTACCTAAGCCCCTTTAATTAAGTAGGGTCTGTCCGTGGTTTTGACACTCTTCAAACAACCCGAGTTTTTGTCTGAAGTTCAATCGTCCTGACTTGAACTGAGACGTTACAATGTTTCTCCAAGTGTTGCTTCTTCCTTTTGTTGGTCCTGGTGACAGTCAAATGTGAGGGAGTCGGGATTAGGTCTCTTGTCTTTGAATTACACACTCCATGAATGGCTGAATTGACTACGCTACAAAGAGCCTGATTCACTCTCCTTCTCATTCAAAGCACAGGCACAACCTATAACTAATGTAATGAAATACATCATCTCGTCTCAGAAATATTAATACGACCAGCCCTAATTTATAATTCGCGAATAATCCAACTTGTATTAAGAACAAAAGCAAGAAAACCTGTTTTTTCGCCTAAACTCAACCCACTCGCGTAACTGTACTGCCTTACCCACCTAAAACCGTTTCGAGAAAACCAAAACGGTGCAACAACCTTAATATTAAATCTAAATCATAAACAAGAATTTACGAATCTCCCGATTGTAGCTAGAGTCATAGTGAGACCCAGGCTGGAAGCTAAATATAGAAAATCCAAAAATACGCAGGATTCTGAGATCAGCAAGCTGTTAGATGCCCAATAATTTATTGAAAATATTTAGTCTTCCATTTTTATTTATTAATGTTTGTATGCATTTGTTTATACGCCACACATTAAATTGTTCTCTTAATTATTTTCTCTCTTTCACTCTCTCTATGTATCTATCTTTCACTCTTTCTCTTTTTCTCTTTCTCTCTTATTTTCACTTTCTCACTCTCCTTCACTCTCTTTCTTTCTTTCTCTGTTATTCACACTTTCTCTCTCTCCTTCTCTTATTATCACTTTTTTCTCTCTCTTATTTTCACTTTCTCTCTCTTCCATTCTCTCACTCACTATTTCTTTCTCTCTCTCTTATCTCTCTCTCTCTCTCTCTCTCTCGCTTCTTCTCTTATTATCACTTTCTCTCTCTTTCTTATTCTTTCTTTCTCTTATTATCACTTTCGGTCGCTCTCTCTTTCTCGTATTATCACTTTCTTTCTCTCTTTCTTTGTCACTCTCTTTCTTTCTCTTTTATTCTCTCTCTCTCTCTTATATTCACTTTCTCTCTCTCTCTCTCCTTCTCTTATTATCACTTTCTTTCTCTCTTACTCTCGCTATCTGTCTGTCTCACTCTCTCTCTCTCTCTCTCTCTCTCTCTCTCTCTTATATTCACTTTCTCTCTCTCTCTCCCTCCCTCTCCTTCTCTTATTATCACTTTCTTTCTCTCTTACTCTCGCTATCTGTCTGTCTCACTCTCTCTCTCTCTCTCTCTCTCTCTCTTATATTCACTTTCTCTCTCTCTCTCTCTCTCTCTTATATTCACTCTCTCTCTCTCTCTCTTATATTCACTCTCTCTCTCTCTCTCTCTCTCTCTCCTTCTCTTATTATCACTTTCTCTCTCTCTTACTCTCGCTATCTGTCTGTCTCACTCTCTCTCTTTCTCTTATTATCACTTTCTTTCTCTCTCATATTCTCACTATTTGTCTCTCTCTTTTTCTCTTGTTATCACTTCCTTTCTCTCTCTTATTCTCACTATTTGTCTCTCTCTCTCTCTTTCTTTTATTTTCACATTCTTTCTCTCTCATATTCTCACTATTTGTCTCTCTCTTTTTCTCTTATCACTTCCTTTCTCTCTCTTATTCTCACTATATCTCTCTCTCTCTCTCTCTTTCTCTTATTTTCACTTTCTTTCTCTCTCACTCCCTTTCTTTCTCTCGCTCACTATTTCTTTCTTTCTGTCTTATATTTCTCTCTCTCTTTCTTATATTCACTTTCTCTCTCTCTCTCTCTCTCTCCCCTTCTCTTATTATCACTTTCTTTCTCTCTCTTATTCTCACTTTCTCTCTGTCTGTCTCTCTCTCTCCTTCTCTTATTATCACTTTCTTTCTCTCCCTTATTCTCACTATCTGTCTCTCATATTTTTTTCATTGTATAAATTCACTTTTTTCCTCATCCTACATGTATTTTTTAAATTTAAACAATGTTTGTAATCCCAGGCACTGAAGATGATCTCAATAAAGATCGAAACGTTGGCAAGATAAAGAAAATGTTTTTCTGAAACTTACATCACACCAGACCGCATCTCATTTCTGAATAACTAATGCATAAAACTCTCTTTCTTACGTGACCAATATGAAATGTAATCTATATTCAGAACAGCTCTCTCTAAATGTCTTAAAACGTCAAGCGCATGGCAGTAAAATTAAGTCATGTTGAGCGAATTCTCTTGTTAATACATTAGAAAATCAATTCTGCTCTATTTCGGATACTTTTACAGTATAATTTAAATGCAAAGTTATTATATTGGTTGACGGTTAGTTTCCAAAAACAACATATGTGTAGTCCAGCAGATTGCATGGCAACATAAATACTTTTTTATGAAATACTTATTGACATTCCCATAGCCATACTCCAGAAACGTTATCGATCTTTTTTATTGCTTCATAAATAATTTATTATTTTCTGACTGGTGTATTCGGTGGTCATCAAGCTAAATGAACAAAAGAGCCGGCACGTGACGTTGCCCAACAATGCACATACTCAGTAAAGTCATCCCCCAATCCGACCAAATTCGTTACCTTGGGTTTTATTTGGACAGCAGACTTACATGCAGCAAACAAATAAAACAAAAAGACAAGAACTGAATCGAAAATCGGACAACTCAAAGGACTACTTGGGCCCAAATTTACAATTAGTATACACAATAACGAACAATATACACAAAACCGTAATTAGACCGATTTAGACTAACGGAGTAGAGCTGTGGGATTCAACCAATCCATCAAACAAGCCAAAGAATCCAATTCTTTCAATCAAACGTCCTCTGTCTCATCCTCAACGCTCTCTTCTATGTAACTAACCAATCCGTCCACAAAGACATGTCATATATGATCCAAACACGGTTCCACAACTTCCACTCCGTTCCCACTAATCAACTAGCTCAAGCCCGACGTCATTCCCTCCTAACAATATAATAAGATCTTACATAATATAACCAATCTTTTAGTGTGATATTATTAAATACTGTTTTCTTTTTGTATTAGATGCTGGGCCTCTGCATCCTGGCAGTCGGCATCTGGGCTTGGTCGGAAAAAGACACTTTCAGCAACCTTGGCAAACTGGCCAATGTCGCCTTGGATCCCGCATTTGTGTTAATCTGCGTCGGTAAGTTTCACTTTTTACAAAGTTTTGGGACTGTAATGACATTGAGCCAAAAATCAATTTGAAGGAATTGTCGAAACGCTGTTTGTTGATATTTCATTTTGTCTAAATTATTCTTCGTTTATTTATCAATATTTTTGAACAGATATTTATTTATATGAGCAAAAAGAAAACGAAGTTTAAAATTCAGTTTTTTTAAATATTTTAAACCGAAACCAAACAACAATTTTTTAATTTTCAATATATATCCTACTAACCTGTTCCTTTAGATCAGTTACCTAAACGATTTACTCCAAAACCTGATCATTCAATGACTTTCATGCAGCTGACGTTCTCCAAGATTTTCCAAAAAAGCTGTCGTATCTTTGCCTTGTTTATTTAATGCAATATTAAAAACTGATCCCATACAATGGAAATTTTCTTCATTGAAATGATCCCAAAGCAAAATAAAAATTTAAATGTCTCTTCATCTTACCGAACCCATTACTTTGTTACCCGAACCTTCTAAATTACGCGAAAAATTAATTCACCAAACTATCTCTATTGTTACTTCGAACAACATTTTACCAGACAATCAATCTGTCTTTCGAGTTCATCAATCACTCATCAACTTCGCAGATTTTCAGATTAATTATCTCATGTCTCGAATAAAAACTGTACACAACTGAATGTGTTTTAGACGTTTTTCAGACGACTTTTGACAAAGTGTGGCATGCAAACCCTTTTTACCCCAGATTGTACAATCATATCTCAAGGAAATATTTTTCGCGGTATGCCACGGATTGGAGACTTCTGATATGACGGAAGTGCTTGCGGGTGTGCCACAGGGATCAATACTCTGTTGTACTACTTTACTTTGTACTTGTTTACTTCTGACATGACTTCAAATGAGAATGTACTTACCGCCACATACGCAGATCATACCGCTGATGGTATATTAACAAGTCATCCCTCTTCTGAACAAGCTTCCCTTATGTTACGAAACCACATATCAACAAGGTTAGGGATGGTTAGGTTGGTTTACATATCAACAATTGAAAAATCTTTGGAAAATTATAACAATTTATTACACGGTTTTGCTCATAAAATTTAACTAACAATTTATTTCATGGTTTTGCTCATACAATTACACCATTTTCGTCGAGTAGCGTCAGAACAGGACACCCATATTTTTTGTAGTTTATTTCAAACTAAGTATATGTAATTTTGTCGTTATATTAATTACAACATTCCTATTTTAATGTAAACCAAATTAAACAAGAACAAAAATGCATAAGTTTTTATAAAAATTATTTAATTATGATGGTTAGGAAGAAAATTTATCGAAATAATTAAGGACCGGTAGATGGCCCTCAAAGAACCTGAGCAGGAGACGAGGGGTCGTCCTCACCTCATTGAGGATTGGCCATACGCGGTTGACACACGGACACCTGCTTTTGGGCCAAAGCCCGCGCAGGAGCCCCCTATGCAGAGAAAGGTTTCTCAATGTGTCCCACATACTGGAAACATGTCATGCCTTGGCTCCCTACCGGGAGTGTGCAGGCATGCCATCCAATCTGAAAATGGTACTCGAGCAGGGCAGCGGGTTACTGGGTCCCCTGTTCCGTTTTTTTTAAGGGGAAATTGGGGTTTTTTACTGGATATAATATGTCTTATGTGTAATATGTCTGTTTGTTTTGTCTGAGTGCATGTATTTATTAGCATAAATGGCGAGGGGAGAGGGTGAAATATAACGTAATCATCTCCCCTCGAACTTTGAGAGCGTATGAGTGTGTGTTCGGGGTCGATGGCGGAATATTTATAAAAGTACCCCATCGACCCCAATCTAGATTAGTTTGAATATAGGTCGGTGGAGGAATATCAAGTACTCCACCGACCCAACGGAATGAGTGTACTGTATGGATGTATTTATTTGTATGAATGTAGTGTTTGAAAGGGTATATAGAATATAGACCTAGTTGGGGGCTGAAATGACCTAGATGTCGGAGCCCCAGTCAAAAACAAACTATTTAAAACAATTAAGTTTAACAAACAATTTATTGCATGGTTGTGCTCTTAAAATTTAACTAACCATTTATTACATGGTTTTGTCAAAATAATGCATTAAGAACAAAATAGACGTTCGATTGCGATAGTGATTATTGTGATACACGCTGTGTGACGTCGCATAGATATGCACACCCTACCAAAACGTGGCAAGGCGTTGGTGAGGAGTGTTCCCGGCTTATGGGGTGGATGGAGTAGAAGCATGATTCCATTCATTTGTAACAATTTTGTCCTTGTCATGTCTACTGTGTCTTAATGACACCAAACTTCCTTCCTACTCACTAAATTATGCAGAAATGATTCAGTATAGCAAAGGGTTACAATTATTCCAATATTAATCATATTTGATTTAGTAATGGTTCAAAAAGATTTTTTTTTACCCATCTTGAAAACTAATTATAACCTAATTAACCGTTCATATCGTCGTATATTATATTATTATTATTTTACAATTAATTAAGGTTTTTAGTTGAGATGAAAAAGTCAATGGCACGTGCGGGATTCGAACCCACGATCTTTGGCTAGATAAGCCGCTGCTCTACCACTTGAGCTATCGTGACCTCTATCCACTCGGACACCAACTTCCCATCTCAACCCCACCTTTTAAATTTTCCCTCCTTTTTGCCATTTTTCTCTTTTTTCGTGTAATTGACTTTTTTATCTCAACTAAAAACCTTAATTAATTGTAATATATTAATTGGTCAAGCGGACCACGAAATTAGTGAATTTAATTATTATTATTATTGATATTTTTTTTAAATTTCATGAATGTTATAAAACAAATAATCTATCGAAATTACGTTTAATGAGTTCTCTTAATGTGGTACACCATACGGAAATGAAAAATCCCGTCACATGTTTCATTCAATATTTACGATTTACCGATGTTAACTTTATTTGCTGTCGATTCATTTTCCGTGCTATCAGTTATACATAAGTTTAATTAATGACAATATAAAGGATTAACGACAACAAAGAAGTGATGAACACGTTCGACATAGAATGGAAACAGCACAGCGAGAAACTTTTGGAAAAAATCAATCTGCGGAAAGAGCTGCTAGGAACGGTGAGGCCGTGTTTTTACGCCTGGCAGCCTCCTGACAGTTCCGAGTCCGAGTTGGAATCGAATTTTTCAAAAAGGGTCGATGAAGACTGTATCGAATACATCGACGCCATTGATCCGACGATGGATTTTCAAAACGAGACGGCCAAGTACGAAAAAGTGTTCGAAGCGTGGGCGCCCTACAATGAACGGTATTGCGAAGAGGTCATTGAAGACGAGGCGGGTATCAACGTCGAAAGTCTCATATTCGAAACCGCGCCTGAAGATTTTGTTTACAAATGCAAGATAAGGAGAGAGAAAAGGAGCACATTCCCCGTTTTCTGCCTGTACTTCCAACAAGCGCCGAAAAAAAGGACGTTCCTCTTAGCGGGGAAAAAGTCCATGCTCAGTAAATCCGGCAGCTACACCATCTCCACCGATCCTGAGAATTTTACGAGGAAATCGCCCTCTTACGTCGGTAAGCTCAGGTCCAATTTGATAGGCACTAAATATACAATGTACGAAAATGGAAAAAACTTCGAGAGAGACTACACCGTCGAGGTGGCCGGCGTGATCTACAAAGAGAACCTGTTCGGCGTCAAAGGGCCCAGGAAATTCACTGTCATCTTACCCTCAGTCGACGAAAACGGCTGTAGGACGGAGATCCCCGCGGGCAAAAAGCCAAAAGATTCCGTCCTTTCGCTCCACGAGTCATTCAAGAAAAACCAGACTGACGGGATAATCTCATTTCAGAATAAGACTCCGACCTGGGACGCGGACAAAAGGTCCTATGTGATCAACTTCGAGGGACGGGTCAAGAGGTCATCAGTCAAAAACTTCAAACTGATCAGGGGCACCCAACCCGAGAATCTGGTCATGCAGTTCGGCAAAGTAACGCGCGATTCATTCTCCTTGGACTACAGTTATCCACTGTGCGCCTTACAAGCCTTCGGAATAGCACTGAGTAGTTTCGACTACAAATTAGCCTGTGAATAGAAAATCACACAAGTGGATATATATGTGGCTGATAACATCAACAAACACGAGAAGGTTCCCTAAGGAGGTTTAAAATCACAGAGTCATCGATGTAAAATCTGCGCTGATTTTAATTCTACGATTGAAATAAACGTTTTTAAATACGTTTTTCAATATCGTTCAACATATTTTGCGCTTACATAGATTTTTCTTTGATACAGCAATTGAAATTACTTCATAGCATAAACAATTGAAGACATCAGTACCAAGATAGGGATAGGGATAAAAACGGCGACCTTAACCTTCGTAGATCTGTTGTGCTTCTCTATTTTCATAACTCACCGGTCAGCTTCAGGTTGTTAATCAACCTTTATGGCCTTGCCAGCGGCTCCTTAGAGTAGGATCTTCCTTGCTGCTTTTCCTCTCCTAGTGCCAAGAATCTGCACCTACATAAACCCTCACCAAAACGTAAAACGTGCCCTGCGGTCTACTTTTCTTCCTGGCAGTGTTTCTCCTGCCTGTACTCTTACCATGCATGTACTTTCTTAGACGGCAGTGCCCTGTCAGGAGGTTCAACCACATTCCTGGTTCTGTCCCGGTTGCCGTCCAGTATAATTCAATTATAAGTCTTGAGGATGGCCCTTCTACGAATCTCTTCGGGTGCCATATTCCTATGCCTATCATGCCATATTCCATTAGGTTTTGGTTTCAGTAATGATCATTTTTGGATGTGGCCTTTTTTGGCCAAACATGTTCACTTTGTCATCGCCTCTATATCCCGAATGCCCAGGGACCCATGCCAGGGTCTGTTCATTAGTGTCACTTTCTTCTGCTTCCATTTAATTCCGCGCATTTTCCATTTACCTCGCATGAGGCAAAGTCCTTAAGTGCCGCCTGTCTGTCAACAAAATGGCTATCCTGTTATGTGTTCCTAGCCTTTTTATTTCTATGGCGCAGTGTTTAATTGCTAGGATGTCAGGTTGGAAAACAGTTCAAAGTCAGTTCGTCTTCCGATTCATCCCGAGGACTCATCCGTTTTGCGCCGTCAATGTACTAGTAGGATTGGCCTTCAGAGGTATTTCTTTGACCCACTCTTCCCTTTCTGGTAGCACATTGTACCTGTGGGCACAGTTTTATTTTAGAGTAGTGGCACCATTTGGTATGGCCTAGTTGGCTGAATCTCCTCCCTCAGTTTCCACTATTCGTTTACATGGCCTATCCTTGCATATGGTTGACCATTTACTAACCTGTGAGCCGCTGCTCTGGTTTCTCCTCGGATTAAAATTTGGAACGGTGGAAGGTTTAACAACACCCTCAAGGCCGCATTTGTAAGGTGGGTTGAATTCCTGCAATATCCTCGGTTAATTTTCTTTAGTAATGGATGCTAAAATTTTGGAAAAGTACACTGGTCTCAGCCAGCATTCATGACTCGGGTTAATGCGTTTTGATTTTAAGTTGGCAAGGATGATTGGAGATTAAGTTGCGCATAACGCTGTTAAAAAGAAAGGATTATATAATTTTTTCACGTAATGAATCTCTACTTTGTATGACCGATACTTCTTTTACTCTTAAGCGGATTTAAGTAGGACATCCAAGAAAAGCAAGAAGAATCTACATGACAAAGTGAAAGTTACTTAAGCTGTTTAGAAGATTTTCACGATATATAATTTTTTATTCAGTTAAGGTCAGATTAATTTCAAGAGGGAAAGTTTGCCTCATTTTCATTTCGTTTCGGGGTTTCGGCTAATAAAACAACCTTGAATTGAGAGTTGTATAAAAACGAGAAAAGAAACCAAAATGCCCCAGGACCAAGAATATCAACAATTTTTGTTTAACCACTGGTGGATTTTTTAAATTTATAATTATCGAGTACAGTTGACGATTTTTAATTTTTTGATTAATGATCATTTTTAACCTTTTTATTATTTCTACATTTTTCTCAACATGAAAATATATCAATACCATGATATAGGGCCAATTTTTGATTTTCTGATTTTCAGTTGTATTGTATAGTATAACACGGTAAAAAGAGGAACAAAGTTTAGTAGAGAGATTTGTGTTACTCACACGGAAAACGATGGATCATCTGCCCTTTGACCCCCTAAACACGATTAGCGAATCAAGCTGTTTTTTCTTTATGAAACAAAAGTTTCGATGGGAAACGTCCTCGAGGCTCCTATAATTTATATTGCGTCCTTTGATGGTATTAGTAAAAGATCATTGCTAATTTTAGCACAATTAATCAAGGTTTTTATCTCAACTAAAAACCTTAATTAATTGTAATATATTAATTGGTCAAGCGGACCACGAAATTAGTGAAGCTAATTTTGGCATTCATCATGAGATTGGAGGGAAAAGTCGCAGTTAATATATTAAATTTTGACTTTTAATCACATACTTTGTCTATGTCCCTAGTCAATATGTTCAAGAGGAAAACAAAATTTAGTCGATAAAGCGGCTTTCTAGATTTGCACTAGTTATACGAAAAACTGAGGGGTTATATGCTCTTTGACTCCCTGCATAAAATTAGGCAAGTTATGGTGTCTTAAAGAAACGAAAGGTTCGGTGCGGAAATGTCCTCAAGGCACCAATAATTTTATATTGGACTTTCAACACGAAAGGGGCTGACAGTCCCCGATGCGCTGACCCTATGGTCTATACCTCAGGGGAGTTCACCTACCCCGTTATGCGGCTGGGTCACTAGGACTACTCGTGGGCAAATGCTGGGGGGGGGGGGTCTTCGCTACTATACCGAGAAGTTGGGCTCCAGGGGCTTTCGACAGCTAGCTCATTTCAGCCGCGAACACTAACACACAGAATACTATTGCACAAATGAATACATTCACACTTATGCACAATGAAATCATTCTAGTTAAGGGTGGAGTTCTTGATACCTCACCGAACTACACGCATAAGCTAACCTTTCATAAATATTACTCCATCTACCCTAAGCACACACAATACGGGCTGGTCGATGATGACTATATTTCACTATCAGCTCCTCACCGTTCTCACCAATAAATAAACCAAACCCGGAACTACACAACAAGAACGAACTATGTACATAAATTCACTAGTTTCGTGGTCCGCTTGACCAATTATTGGGTTGTCCGGAAAATAATGCAGGATTTTAAGTTTTCATTAAAAAAAATCTATATAAAATATTCTGTTTACGTGTCAACACTTATTAATCCTCTTCCAAATGATATTGTTTGTTTACCTCTGTAGCATTCCGCTACTTGGAAATAATTCAGTCATCCTTATAATGTCAAAGCGAGAATTTCGTACGATTTTCTTTTACGAGTTTAAACTCGGCCGAAGCGGAGCCCAAACGGCTAGAAACATTAACCAAGTCTGGGGCGAGGGTTGTGTTAATGAGTGCACTGTGCAAAGGTGGTTTAAAAAATTTCGGGAGGGAGATTTCAGCCTTGAAGATGAAGAAGGTCGTGGAAGGCCTTCCTCTCTTAATGATGATGTTCTGCGATCAGTGGTGGAAGAAAACCCCAAAACAACTGTTCGAGAACTTGCAGAGCAACTCAAAGTCAGTAAAACGACCGTCGCTGACCACCTCAAGGCGATTGGAAAAGTGAAAAAACTCGAAAATTGGGTTCCACACTCATTAAACGATCGCCAAAAAAATCAGCGCTTTGATGTTTGTGCATCACTTCTTTGTCGAAACAAAAATGACCCATTTCTGGCCAGAATTGTTACATGTGACGAAAAGTGGATTCTGGACAGTGGCTCGACAAAGGAGAAGCTCCAATACATTTTCCAAAGCCCCCAACTCATCAAAAAAAGGTAATGGTTACGGTATGGTGGGCTTCATTTGGTTTAATACACTACAGCTTCTTAAATCCTGGCGAAACCATCAATGCTGAATCATACTGTAACCAAATTAATACCATGCATCAGAAATTGGCAGTAATGAAGCCCTCTTTGGTCAATCGGAAAGGGCCCATTTTGTTGCATGACAACGCTCGACCACATGTGTCACGTGTAACGTCACAAAAATTATTGGAGCTTGGCTATGAAACTTTGCCTCACCCACCCTACTCTCCGGACCTCTCGCCTACTGACTACCATTTTTTTAGATACCTGGACCACTACTTACAACACATAATATTCAAAAATCAAACGGAACTGGAAAATGCATTTATTGACTTTATCAATTCTAAAAATTCTGAATTCTACTCAGACGGAATTAATAAGTTACCAACACGTTGGGAGAAATGTATTGAGAGTATGGGAAATTATTTTGATTAAAGAACATTGCTTTAAAGTAACTAGTTTCTTTTTTTTTGTTTAATACCAAAATCCTGCATTATTTTCCGGACAACCCAATAATATCTTACAATTAAATAAGGTTTTCAGTTGAGATAAAAAAGTCAATGGCACGAGCGGAATTCGAACCCACGATCTTCGGCTTGATACGCCGCTGCTCTACCACTTGAGCTCTCCCATCTCAACCACACCTTTTGAATTTTCCCTCCTTTTTGCCATTTTTCAATATGTACATAAAATAAAACGTAAATAAAAAAATTAAATACTTCTTCTTAAAACCGGAACAGGGGATCCAGTTACCTTCTATGCTGAAGAACCACTCTCATATCCGGCGGCGTACCCACAAGCTCCCTATATGGGGCCAAGGCATGACAAGATTCTATTATATGCTACACATCGAGCTTTATCTGTGCTTTCGCCCAAAAGCAGGTGTCCGTTTTTCTACTGCGTCTTAGTCGTTGGAGGACGATACTTTTCCTCCAGCTCAGGTTCTCGATGGTAAAACATCTACAGGTAAATTTGTAAATCGTTGATTATGGAGTCAAGGTCCTGATGAACGGGATATGTTCATCGAAAGTTCGACGAAGGATAGTTATAGTAATCTTTCCAATTGGCCTTATATCTTATAGCGTTTATCGTGGATCTGGGGGAAAAATTAGCCTTTAATTACATTTTGCCAACAATTTTCATAAAGGCATAAATAATGAATTTAATTTTCACTTCGTCTTTGAAAGTTACGAAATATTAATTATAATAATTCACGAGAACGTTTAAAAACTTGTCACAAGTTTATTAATTTCTGTAATTATTTTCTGTTTCAGGTACTTTAACTTTTATTATTGGTTTCACGGGGTGCGTCGGCGCTCTTCGTGAAAATACTTGCCTACTGGCAGCGGTAAGTGTTTCTTTTTTTTAAAATTTAGTTTTCAATGTTTATATTTTTATTTTTTACTTTTGTTTTGTACATTTTACTTCCGCATACACTGAAAAATAGAAGAATGTGAATTTTAATTACCACAATCGTAATTTAGTTTAGAAAATGAATTCTGGAACGGGTTGGTTCTAGATAAGGAAGTAAGCCTTCCGTGATTTGGATGGCGTTTTGTCAACCCTCTAAGTTTTAACGAGTTGCACCGCACCTCGTTGAAAAACCAACTCCAAAACTTGGGTTTTTCAACATCGGAAGAATATTCACATACTGTCAACATAAACCTTGATTCGACAATATAAGTAAAACTGACAGTTCTTTTTTTTTTAAATTGGGGCTATTGAATAGCGATTGTTCAAACATTGTTTTGCAGATCGATAATTCAGTCATTATCTGAAAAACTGCTCAAAAATGTATAGAGATGTTACCTAGTCCGTAGTATTTATTTTCCCTAGCAATTTTATTTTATTTTTGTTATAAATTGCATTAAAATTTATTAGAAATAATTATTTTTTTCCTGAAGGATAGTTTAATTAAGGGGTTTTAAAAAATTACAAAATAAAAGGTTTTAATTCCATAATTGTGTTTATTGGACACAATAATTTTTTTTTTAAACAATTACGTGTATAATGTTCTTTGTTGGCTAAAACATCTGTGTACCTCTTAGGCATACTGTTGATAAGGTTATCACTAATTTCATTAGGAATATCACACCATAGATTTTGCAACGCTGCACCCAGTTGTTGCAGGTCAGCTGATTGCTGAGGTGGACGATTCAGCTCAGGTTCAAGGTGGGCCATTACAGGTAAATTTGTAAATGATTGGATTATGGAGTCAAGGTCCTGAAGTAGGGGATATTGTCGAAAGTTCGACGACGGAAGTGATAGTTATCTTTCCAATTGGCCTTATACATAATTGTTAAACCTCGTTTTATCATGGGTCGGGGGGAGGAATTAACATTTAATTACATTTTGCAAACAATTTTCATTAAGGCATAAATAATAAATTTAATTTTCACTCCGTCTTTGAAAGTTACGAAATATTAATTACAATAATTAACGAGAAAGTTCAACTGGCTGCGGATAGTGATTAAAAAGCCTTCTTCGCAACGCATCCCACATGTGCTCAATGAGATTGATGAAGAACTCTACCTACGAGGTCTGGCATAGTCATCGAAAATCCCTGCCAATGAGAACCCTGGTTTGAGGGATGTATTCCTCGATAATTTCTTGGAGATAACGGACTGCGGTGAGGTTGCCGTCAACAATAAGGAGTCTGGTTCGTCCTCCATTTTAAATAACAATGGAACCCAGATCATTACACCGACTCCTCCAAATGCGCTGAAGGGTGCACTGGGGCATTGTACGCATCCTCTGTTCTCGGTAGACCCTTCGGCGCCTGCTGTCATAATATATACTCAACAGTAAACATAACAGCAATCCAATTGTTGTTTTCATCTAGGCGCTCGCTGCACCATTTCTCCTCTGTAGCTGGTGGCGGGCTGTTGCTGAAGGTCGTCTCAAAGGGGCATATGACATAAGGCCAACACCCCACAAACGATTGGTACTTAAAGGCCCCAAAACATCTTTTACTTCATTTAGGATCTAGGGGATATTACGGAAAGGGTTCCATCTTGCAGCAATGACAATATTTCTGCCCTCCCTTATCGTTGTAATGCACTGAGATCCACTACAGGCCTCCTATTGCCACTTCCAGTCTCTGGGAATTTGGCCAACTGCCTCTGCGATATCTGCTTGCCGGTGACCACTGACTCATTTTGCGAACTTCTGGTTCAGATATGATGTCTTTCCATGTTTAAAGAGAATACATCTGGATTAAAATGGAGAAAAGACGTTTGTTTACAAAATGAGAGTTTACTATTCTTAAGTAAATCCGTTATCAAAAATGACGATTAAAATTTTTTGTTTGTGTTTGGTTTGTACTTTCTATTTTGTTTAATCCAATTAACAAGAATATATCGGCTAATTTAATGAAAATTAATAGAATAAGAATAAATTACAAATGTCCCTATTCATTTTTGAGCAGTTTATTTGGTACAGTACTCTTGCGGTGCCGTTGGGTTTCGCTTGATAAAAGATTATTTCTCTACTGTTTGAAAATGAATTTTTTTAAGTCTAGTGGTGTTAAAACATTTTTCAAGTAGATAACTTAATTGGGCATTAGTCATATGCAGTTGGGCAAATAATGAAAAATATATACACCAGCATCAACACTAATTGAAGGTTATGAGGAGGTATCAACCCAGTGGCTGACATTGCTTTCCCGTATACTCGGTCGTCCTTAAAAGGACAATGAGGATCTTTAAGTCCGCACCTAGCCTTCCGACCTTATCGGACTTTTGTTCTCAAGATGAGAGTTGATGCACCACAGAAGTGTGTTAAGGCCGCAGCAGTGGGGTAGAGGGGCCAAGACAACCTCGCTCCCCGCTTGCCCATTCCGAGTGGTCGGGTCTGCATCAAGCATCGAACCGTATGCCGCGCGCAAAGTGCTACCTAAGCCGAAATACATTAGCCTGATCTCCCGCGCACTCCCTGGATAGAGAAGGCTACTCTATCTCCCAGAGTATTGGGGCTTCCCAAGCGTAGAAACTACCGGATCCGCTCTGGTCACGGTTTTGTTTAAAGTGGAATTGCTAGCCACGCTGTAGAGGAGACTGCCTACGGTAAAAGCCGCCAATCGAGCTCAACCTACACATGCGTGCAAAGCATACTCGATTCACTACCCATTCCCATCCGCCACTACTCACGCATTCGAGGGACTCTGACAGCGTAATCATAGCGTCCTCAACGCTTATCCGCTTCGGTCCGATCCGCCGTATCCCGTGAGACCGGGTGTATGACGATGGTCAAACGCAAGTTTCGTGCGAACGTCACAGAAATGCTCTTCTCTAAGTTCCCGCCAGGGATGTCACCACGAACCACTACAAGTCCATTCTCAGTGTAACAGGGGCTGAACCTTGGAACATTTCTGTTACCCCGTTGTACAGATGGTTACGCATCCTCCCCCGTCTAGCATCTGGTACCCTAACCCTCGTGTGCTCTGAGAAGGCACCCGCCGCCCATGCCGAGCCGAGGCCGACACGAGTACAGCTTGTGCTTTAGAGAGAACAGCCCTCAGGGCTACACCATTATTTTGCGCCCGGACAGCCCCCTTGTAACCAAGGGTTGGGAGGGGTCGCAGGGAACAATGAAGGAACCTGGATTGAGAAGGGACGTGGATGAGAACACGAGGTACACCTTTCTTGGTCCCCGAGCCGTAACCACATTGTACCATCCGTCGTCGTCGTGGGCTGGGTGGATTCCAGTGGCTATCAGCGACTGGACAAAATCAGCAAAGATGGCAGGCGTATGGCATATTTAGATTATGGTAAATTACAGTTTCGAATATACCAGGGCACGTGTTAATCCGCAGAACACGATTTTGGTTATCTTGGATTCTTTTTAATTCTGAGTCACTAGCTGACCCCAGGAAAGGTGACGCTTACTACCAAATAGGACGGAGAAGTGATAGGCAAAACAACCTTTTGTTGAAGTGAAAGTGATGAACTCTGTCAAGAACGGGTTTTACTTCGGATTCGCCTTAAAAGTCGTTTAATCTGTATATGTTTTGAATATGTTAATCTTTTATGGAGTGTGACGCCTAATTATTTACATTTAGTTCCAATATCCAACAATTTTATGGTTACCGTTGTACTTAAGATTAAATTTTCATAATAATAAAAGCATAAATATTTTAACGATTATAACGTAGTAAATTAATCTTTGAAGTATTAGATGATATGGATTGTAGACAAATAGTCTTTTTATGTTTTTATGCAGATATAAAAAAAGGACTATAGTAAATTTAATAGGATAAAATTGGAATACAATATTTCAGCAAATACGCTTTTATAAATGGTGTAAAAATAATTAATTATATACAACGTGTTGAACTGTGTTTTGGTTTTACGGATAATCAACTTAAACAATAATTAAGAGGCACAAAGAATAATGCTTGAAATCATATGATATGTACATGGAATTATATTGTCTAGCTTCAATGCCGACAACTCTGGAGATTAAATGAACTTAAATGAACTGTTAAATGCTTAGTTGATTAAAATAATATTTATTCATTATTAAAGTAATGAAATAATAACGACTAATTCGTAAATGTATAGATTAAATTAAAAAAATAAATGCACATATCACACTAACGTATTTTTATTGTATCGGTAAACATTCGAAAAATTGCGAACTCTTCTATAATATCGCAATAATACAATCAATAAAAAATTGATCCTAATTCACTAGTTTTCGTGGTCCGCTTGACCAATTAATATCGTTCAATTAATTAAGGTTTTTAGTTGAGATAAAAAGTCAATGTCACGAGCGGGATTCGAACCCACGACCTTCGGCTAGATATTTCATGGTGAATTTAAATTAAATTAATTAAAATGAAGTACTTCACTAATGCTCTCTGTGGCCATTTCATTTGTCGCCGAGAAACAAATAGATTACACGACATTTGAAAAATGGCAAAAAGGAGGAAAAATTCAAAAGGTGGGGTTGAGATGGGAAGTTAGTGTCCGACTGGATCGAAGTCACTATAGCTCAAGTGGTCACTTCTCCTATCACTTCTCCCAGTACATCGGCAATTCCAGCTTTTGAAATTTACAATAAATTACTGGCAGGCCTCGAGAATCATCAATCTCGGGTGTTGGTTGACCTAGGTCTTATCCGTGCAGCCACCGAGGCTAGGCTCCAGGGAGTATCAACATCTAGGTCATTTCATCCCCCAAGCAGTCTCAAAATCCAAACCCGTTCGCACTCTCACTTACTATTATATTCATATATTCCTATTTGCATACTATTCACTCAGGGTGGTGGATATTCCCTCCATCCTCTATCACTATCTACACATATGTAATTAATCTAATTGAGGGTCAATGGGTTGCAATATTCCGCCATTGGCTCCTTTAAACTACACATTCAACGAGATATCGATGAAGTACTGAATACAGTAAAACAAAAAAATCTTCTCTAAACAGGGGACCTAGATACTTACTACCGTCCTCAAGCTCAATATGGAAAAAAGGAATGGCACCTTTCAGTTAAACGGGTCATATCGAGCAACATTCGTTTTTCATAACAAAAGAGCTTAAAGCCGGGAACACACTTACCGTTGCAATGTTACCCGATACTACTCGACGCCTTGCCACGTTTTGGTAGGATGTGCACATCTATGCGACGTCAAGCACAAGCTACGTACAGTCACATAGCGTGTATCAGAAATCGCAACGCCTCTTTTGTCCTTAATGCATTATTTCAGCAAAACCATGTAATAAATTGTTAGTTAAATTTTATGAGTACACCATGTAATAAATTATTTAAATTTAATTGTTTCAAAAAATTCACTAATTTCGTGGTCCGCTTGACCAATTAATATATTACAATTAATTAAGGTTTTTTAGTTGAGATAAAAAAGTCAGTGGCACGAGCGGGATTCGAACCCACGATCTTCGACTAGATACGCCGCTGCTCTACCACTTGAGCTATCGTGACCTCGATCCTCTCGGACACTAACTTCTCATCTCGACCCCACCTTTTGAATTTTCCCTCCTTTTTGCCATTTCAAATTAATTAATTGTTTTAAATAAAGTTATTCCGGTGTTTTGATAAATTTTCGGCCTAACCATCATAATTAAATAATTTTTATAAAAACTCATGAATTTTTGATCTCGTTTAATTTGGGTTATATTAAAATAATAATGTGGTAATTAATATAACGACAAAATTACATATACATAGTTTGAAATAAACTAAAAAAATATGACGTCCTGTTCTGACGCTACTCGACGAAAATTGTGTAATCGTATGAGCAAAACCATGAAATAAATTGTTAGTCAAATTTTATGAGCAAAACCGTCTAATCAATTGTTAGTTAAATTCATTATATCAAAAACTGGTATTCCGGTGTTTTGATCAATGTTCTACCAAACTATTAAAATTATTATTTTTTAAATAAAAACTAATGAATTTTTGAACGCGGTTAATTTGGTTTATATTAAAATTAGTATGTTGTACTTAATATAACGACAATAATACATGTAGTTTGAAGAAAACTGTGTGTGTCCGGTTCTTTTGTCTTCGACTGTAATCGATGCTACCCGACGAAAATCTGGACAGTGGGGATCTCGTAGCGTAGAGTAGGGTAGCGTTGCGTAGCATCGGGCAGATGTGCAAGGGGGGTAATACAATCTTATGGAAAATTGGACTTTGGATTTGCGTCGGGTAGCGTCGCATGGCGTTGCATAGGGTAGTGAGTTCCCTCCGGGCTTAAGTTAAGAACTAAGTGGAAGAAAAAGAATGCGTTGTTTACATGATTGCTTACTTACAGTTTACACAATTTCTGTAATTAAATCAATTCATCGTAACAATTAATTGTTTCAGTTAATTATTCGTTTTATGCAAGGTCTAGGTTGAGATGAAAAAGTTAGTGTCATGAGCGAGATTCGAACCCACGACCTTCGGCTTAGACAATCGAATACTGCTCGTTCATCTCAACCAAGACTTTATATAAAAAGAATAGTTAAATGAAATAATGAATACGGTCAATTAAACATAATTGGATAAACATTAATGTGTAGTTTATCGTATAACTGTTGTATTATGATTTTGTTTTTGTTTTTTTGTTCAGGGTAAAAGATCGTAAGAACCTTTTTGAAAATTTTTGTATTGCCATCTGTACAAACCTCAAATATTGTGCAATAAGCTACACTATCTCATTTTATAATGTTATATCATGAGGGTTAAATTTTTAAAATTTTAGGGAAATAAACAATGATTTTTTTCATGTTATCATCGTGAGTGATTTTGAAGTAATATTGGAATATAAATTATTTTATTTACCGTTATTATTTCTCTATTGTATTTTTAAAATTAATTTTAATGTTTGAATTGTACGAATATCTTGTGGCTCATTAAGGTTCTACCATCAGCTTACCCCTTTCAGGAATATGACTTTTTTAAAGTTTTAATTTTTTTTCTTATTTATTTTTCAGTACGCTCTCTTCCTAGCCATCATCCTATTGTTGGAGATGACAGCCGGTATAATGGGCTTCATATTTAAAGACTGGGTAAGTGCCATTTCCCTATCTTCTGGCTAGAAGGGCAATTTCCACGCCGCGTTTCCGCCCGGACCCAATTTCACCGCCTTTCGGGAGCCTGCAAAATGAAAAAAAAATCGGTTTGTCTGAACGCTTTGTCAGCGGTGAAAAAGGAGAAAACGGACGTGAATAGTCCAATGAGCCCTAACAGAATAAAGTGAAAGCTCGCCCGCCGTGTATAAATCACCCGTCCGATGACAAAACACCACAGTCGCAATTAAGGAGCAGTTCATCAACTCTTCCTGCCCTAAATAACACAATAACAATTCGCTATGCCACGTTCATAGATGGACTTATCAGACGAATAATTTGCTCACACAAAAATTCCAATCACTACGATAAAAAACCTATAATACAATAATATAGCAATTTTTTCGAATAATAGTCACGTAGAAAACGATAACGGAAACACTCTTCTACTTCATTACATTTTCCTGACCCAAACATTATGTTGACCTCCAATAGTCCAGACTGTTTGACTGTATATCAACACAAATGCACCACCTCCAGTGTCATTAAGGTTGTTTAAATTCATGTCTCCATTTCACGTTAACTCATTTTGGTAGAATGTATGCTTATTTATGCAATTCAGTGCGATTTGGGTTTTAATATGGGCGGAAGAGTTATATCTCTAAAGTGGAGACTTTCTTAATTGAACTCTTCTTTCCAAACATTGCCTTTCTTCTCGGTGTCGATTTATGTTGGAGCACTTAATACCGGACGATAGGTCGTATGACTTTTTTGCATAAATCATAAAACATCGTTAATAACGACTTGCAATTCGGATCTAAAAGAGGTTCTTTTCAGCCTCACCGTTTTGATACAAAAGTGCCACGAACGTAGAAAGGAAGTCTTTACACTTTCATAGTCCACGAAAAAGCTTTTGATAGTCCGACTCACCAGGCTCGTTAAATTTCTCCAGCCAACCAGTGTCGATGGAAAAAAGGTTCACACCGTAAAAAATAAGGCTTCTACAAAAGAAGTACAGAGTTAAACAGGGTTCCACATTAGCAAAGAGAAAAGCGATAGTAACATCCTAATGAAGGATCCCAAGAGACGACATGAACTTCGGATGTTCGAGTTCAACCAAACAAATTTAAGTACAAAAAAATCGCACTATCTGCTGGTACACTGACGGATCTAGAACGCAGAAAGGTATGTGGGTAGGATAATTGGTCTTGGTAGGCAGTAAAGCAGCCATCAAAGCACTTAGTTTAAATATCATTAGCTCAAATATGGTGTTGATTTGCAAAACTATCTGACCTACTGATACTTGTCACCCTCTGCTGGATCACAGGGCATGTGGGCAGTATACGGTAAAGGGTGAGCGGACGTTCTTGCATCAAAAGGGGCTGCTATACCGCTGATACGTCCTGAGGCATGTATTGGAATTCACACTATCTAATGACTATCATAGACAAAAAACAAATGGAAATGAGGAAACAGTGGAATTCACTCATTGGACAATCCAAAAACGTTCTAGCAAATTTTGGAAGAAAGAAACAACAGAATATATCAAAGGAAGCTAAGAAAGCTGAGGAATACTGGTATAACTGCATGGTGCACGTGCATATTCTGCAAAGATGCAGAGGAGACACCAACACACCTATCTATGGCCGCGGGAGGCAGTGTTTTAGGATGTACAACAACTGTAGGAGAAATTGAACCACACAACATTACAGTACAACACAAATACAGAACGGGGGATACAATAGCTCTCAAAGGCAGCAGTATAACACACCCTGCATATTACATCTACATCTACAAACCGGGGTTCAGGCTCACGTTCAGTTTAACTTCTACGCAAAGCGAACCTCTAAGTAACTATCGACGGTTTAAACGTAGGAATAAAAATAAGTGAAGGGCGTAAACCTTCATTTACGTCGATTGATCAGTAATTACGGCAGGTGCATCAAAGATTGCCAATTACTTCTCGCCAAAACAAAACGCTGGTCTTGCCATAGGCGTGTATGGCCTTAGTCGCCATTACCATGGCACAGCATCTTTCCACTCGATAACGCAGCCAATGCGTTTTTTCAATTAAAATCTGGATTTCTGATAACCTGGATCCGGAATCAAATGCCGTATAAAATAAGCCCACCTCTGCCACGTTAACATAACCTCAGACGTAGACAGTAGGTGGCCAAAAGATTCGTCTAACTTGCCCACTTGACGACTAGAGGACATTGAGATGTAAACTCAAAGGAGAATGCTCCGAAAACCCTGGTTCTGCAAAATCTCCAACACCCAGGTCCTCCAGATATACTCTGGTCAGAAGCTGTTAACAACAATAATATAAAATGGAAGAAAATAGGATAATTCTGACACTTTGAGAGGAGAGAAGTACCTCCTACCCGATTCGATTCTAAAGGGGAAAATTGAGGGACGTCGCTGGATCGGGAAGAACGATTGGCTTGATTGGTCTGGCAACCGAAGCTTTTCCAGATAGTGCAGGACAGAAGAGTCCTTACCGCGGTGATCGTCGTGATGAACAGAAAATACATAAGATGTATGAACAACAAAACAAAATAAGATAATTCAAATGTCAAATGTTGAGCTTGTGTGACGTCTCTTCGAATGATATTTATAACCGAGCAGATTCACTAAATCGCAATTGTTCAAATTGTTTATTAAATAAATAAACACCCCTTAATAATTCCGTGACAATTCCACATTCAATTTCCGTTCCAAAAAAAAATCAGCCAACATGCAACATAGTGAAACAGGGTATACTAAACGTTGTCACCTCTAAATCAGTGTAGTTTCAAAAAGAAAAAACATTCTTAAAAATCTCATGTTCAAATTTGCAAGTGTTTTATTATTTTTTGAGTGAATTAAAAGCTTAACAAAACCCGGCCACATGCTAAATCATTGTAGGTTAAACACTTTCGTAAAGTCCATTAAATTCACTAATTTCGTGGTCCGCTTGACCAATTAATACTTTACAATTAATTAAGGTTTTTAGTTGAGATGAAAAAAAGTTAATGGCACGAGAGGGATTCGAACCCACGACTTTCGGCTAGATACGCCGCTGCTCTACCACCTGAGCTATCGTGACCTCGATCCACTCGGACATCTACTCCCCATCTCAAGGAGGGAAAACTCATAAGGTGGGGTTGAGATGGGGATGTCCGAGTGGATCGAGGTCACGATAGCTCAGGTGGTAGAGCAGCGGCGTATCTAGCCGAAGGTCGTGGGTTCGAATCCCTCTCGTGCCATTAACTTTTTTTCATCTCAACTAAAAACCTTAATTAATTGTAAAGTACTTTCGTAAAGCTTCTTCTTATATAGATTTATCCATTTTTTACTTACAGTTCTTGCTCATATTGTCAGGGGTCAGGGTTGTTAAAACATTGGAAAAATAACAACCAGCTCTCTTGTATATATGGAATGTATTTCGGGACTCACATATCCCCTCTTCAGCGAAAACTTGTCAAATGCCTACAACTTGTCAAATTTCAGAAAAACTTCTTTATCTAATATGCTTTACGGTGATATATCCGGGTTTTTAAATAACGCGTTAGTAGAGTTGAAAAATCAACGTAAAGCATATAAGAAGAAGAAGTTTTTGTAAAATTTGACAAGTTGTAGGTATTTTTTTGTAACCTCAGTAGAACGTGCAATCATGACCAAAATTTTAAATTTTGTAATTTTGACATGTTCCAACTGATATTGGCTAACATTTTATGTCATTCAGATTATTGCAAATAGTATCTTTCAGCAAATTTAGCGTTCTTTCAAATGATGTAATTGGATTTATTGTAGTCTCAACATTTTGGAAGTTGTAAGCGTTTTTATGTGGTAAGGTAGTGAAAAGTTGAAAAAAACAAAAATGAACAAAATCTTCAAAATAGAGAACTTTCCGAAAATTTTCTCCTGAGCATTTTTTGCTCCAAACGAAGAGCAGAATCGATTCCCTGAGTTTCGTCATAAGGAACTGGGATATCCTGAATATGCAAGGGAGTTGGTTGTTATTGTTCCAAGTTTTTAACAAAACTGACCACTTTTCTCATGTTTTCTTTTGATATGTTTATACCAATTGGCTTTTTGAAGAACAAAACGTTCTGATGTTAAACGATGCAAGGGTTGCTATTGTTGCAAGACAAAGAGCTGCCACCTCGCTCACAGGACCCAGTCCTTCTTTTGGATGGGAACTTCTTGGAATAAAGGATAATTTCAGAGTGAGGAAGCAGAATAAAGACATTATATAACGCATAATAAGAAACGGTAAAAAGTTCAAAATCAGGTTTTTTGTGGGCATGGAGATCCAAAGGACATCCCAGAAAGCTCGGCGTCGACTCGGTATGATAATGCAAAGAGGCGGAAAAGTCGCGAAGACTTCTGCAGGTAGATTGTTGTTCTTCACTTCTCTGCTGATAAAAGTGTTTGGTTACTAAAAAAAAGTGTGGTTGAATTATAACCGGGTCAAGAAACCTAGCGGAACTCACCGATATATATAGTATGGAAGATACTATATTTCTTAAAGGATAGAACATAACCTCATAAATCATAATAAATCATTAATCATATGATGTTAATTTTTTCAAACAATTACCTGCTTAGCGTCAATGTTCGTTGATAACGTACAAAAAATTAAAATGGAAGGAACAGCCAAGTTTGTCAGGTGCTTCTACACCTCAAATTTAACATCCTTCTTTGTTTGTTCACTACGTTTATTGTTTCTCTTATGTGCTTTGTTTGACTTTTTCGTTGAATTTTTCTTGTCTTATTTGTAGTGAATCACCCTATATATTTTTTTCATCACCCTCTCATGTTTCAATTACCCTTTAGTTAAAACAACTGAGGATTCTTTTTATACAGTACAACAAGTAATATCAATTTTATGCCCGTTATGTGACTTTTTAATTTATGCTTTCAGATAAAGTTGCAAGCCACTGATGGTTTTCAAGCATTTATCATTCACTACAGAGAAGACCCAGACCAGCAAAATCTCATCGACTGGATCCAAGAAGATTGGGTAAATTTTATTACGTAATCAAACTGTAAATTTATTTCGTCCAGATGCTCGTTTAATATTTTTCACTTTACTCAGCAATTCTTCATAAATTTTATGTTTTTGATGTAGACAAACAATCGACGAGTAATATTATCAAATATTATTTTAAAAATTTATTCGGTCCTTCTAAAATCATCAGGTGTGTTTAAAACTCGGACTTTGTTCAGCATCCGTTTAAACAGTTCCATGATTTCTCATGATTCACTAGTTTTCGTGGTCCGCTTGACCAATTAATATATTTCAATTAATTAAAGTTTTTAGTTTATTGAGGTTTTAGTTTAGTTGGGGGGGGGATAGGGGGTTTTCAGTTGAGATAAAAAAGTCATTGTCACGAGTGGGATTCGAACCCACGATCTTCGGCTAGATACACCGCTGCTCTACTACTTGAGCTATCGCGATCTCGAACCACTCGGACACTAACTTCCCATCTCAACCCCACTTTTTCAATTTTCCCTCCTTTTTGCCATTTTTCATAAGATTGTTCTTTGAGGGAATCACCAGCTGAAACGTTAATTGACATCGTGCTAATAAAACACCACTTTCAGCGGTTTGCATTGCATTGTATTTTTTCCTATTGTGATAGGACTTTTTCAACTTTCATTGCAGACCGTAGCTGGGAATTTATTTGTGAGTAAGCTCATTAAGCTTCCTTAAGTGCACTTCGCGATATTGCACCTTGTTAGGTTCATTAGGAACTTTCAGGTTGATAAACACTTCTGCTGGTACCGTCCCAGATATTTTTAAAATTTATCTCGCATATTGTTTCCGTTCGTTCACAGGCACTCAGAAAATTCTACCTTAAAATAAATCCATTATATTTAGTGGACTATTGACCAAATGAATGGTAAAAACGGAAAATTCGAAAGGTTGTAGGTTGAGATGGGGAGTTGGTGCAGGAGTGGATCGAAGTCATTCATAGCTCAAGTCGTAAGAGCAGCGGCGTATTTAGCCCGAAGGTCGTGGGTTCGAATCCCGCTGGTGACACTAGCTTTTTCATTTCAACCAAAACCTTACATAAACAGATTAAGTACTTAAAATAAATGTCAGTTATTATTTAATTATAATGAACTGTAGTACCGTTTCTTTATGACTTTATGACTATGTCTATACCAAGTTTTCCCCTTAGAATATCAAACAAACCAACCCTAGGAAAACTGGCATAATTTATAGGCGATTTTAGGTTTAATTTTTTGTTTGTTTGTTAACAGTTACAGTGCTGCGGAATAGAAGGACCAAAAGACTGGGATAAAAACAATTATTTTAATTGTTCTTCGCAAGCCGTCGGAAGCCGAGAAGCATGCGGCGTGCCATTTTCCTGCTGTAAACGGAAAGCTAACGTAAGTATTTTAATTAAGTTCGGGTTTTATTTATTACCAGTTATATTATTTAATAAATTTAATAAAATGTTATTTTAGTTCAGTTATGTATAAACTTTCTTTCAAGTAAAGCTTTTGATTTCTTTGACTCTGCTAGACGTAGACAAAAATATTAATTTTCCATTATTGTATGTTTATCTTCGTTTACATTCGATTTGAACAGCTGTGTGATTGAATAATTTTGAATAATTGATAATTATTATAAGCACAGTCGGCGATGTTAGACAGAATTAAGACAAATCTTGTTAAAAAAAAAAAAAAAAGGATTTAGTGCTTAATTAAACTGCGCGTTTCTTATTTTTATACAATACGTTCTTCAATTTTCTTACATTTTGTCTGATATTTTAACAAGAAAATTTTTAAATGGCGACAATGTCGATGATGACTACGTTTTCCATTTTTCTTACGTGTTAATTTAGCCAAAGAATGGGCTTGAAATCTTTTCAACGCAAGAAAAGTCCCACAGCTTTAACCATTTGAATACATTTTCGCTGTTGAAAAGAACCCCTTTGTTCGACTTGGAACTCGTTTAAGGGGGTGAAAAATATCGACCGATTTATTATAATAAACTCCAATCTTTTCTGGCATTTTGGTATGGCTGAAGTGAAAATTCACTAGAGATACGCTAAATAGTTTTATGTATCTAAGTGTGACGTGTGAAAACACTTAAATCTAACCCATAACGAATGCCCATATTTTTTTTCAGCATGTTAAACTATCCTATGGAAAATGTATTATAATAATTTTATTATAGCAATCGTCATATTTGCTTGGTTTAGCATCTTTACAGATGCGTTATCAACAGGCCTTTTTCCGCGGATTTTGTATATATTTTGTCATATTTAGATAATATGTACATACATAACCGTAAAATATTTACGATTGAAGAAAAATCCATATAGTTTCAAAATGGATCAACAGAAAAAATGGAGAATTATAGGAGGAACTAAAAAATAAGGTTAATAAAAAAAAGGTTTGCGTCTATTTTTTAATTCAAATAATTTTAAAATATTAAAATAGAAAACAGTTAAAAGTTAAATGCACCTTTTCAATTAATTAAGGTTTTTAGTCGAGATGAAAAAAAAGGAAGAAAGAATCCAAACCGATTACACGACATTTGAAAAATGGCAAAAGGAGGGAAAACTCATAAGGTGGGGTTGAGATGGGAAGTTAATGTCCGAGTGGATCGAAGTCACGATAGCTCAGGTGGTAGAGCAGCGGCGTATCTAGCCGAAGGTCGTGGGTTCGAATCCCTCTCGTGCCATTAACTTTTTTTCATGTCGACTAAAAACCTTAATTAATTGAAAAGTATTAATTGGTCAAGCGGACCACGAAAATAGTGAAGTTAAATACGCCGTTGTTAAAACAGCCTGATTTACACGTTGCCGGTAGGCGTGCCAGTTGATCCTGCAAATAGCGACTGGTAAGGGGTCGTCAGTGATTGGCACTGCCAGCGTGCTAATCACTAGTATTGCTAGAGAAAGAAAAAAGTTTGATTTACTGGCACTCCCCCTCCACTTTTTTGGACTGGCACCTTGCTGCTTTCACTGTGTAAACGCATCAGGTTTTTGAAGTTTGATGATTGCCTCATCGAACAACAAATCGGTAAAGTCTCATAACTGCTTTGAATTCCCGAGGCTCTTTCAGACGAGGCAACTAGTTGATTCAAATAGTTTAACGGACGGGTGTCAAGGAGTGCAACGTGGTACCAAATGTTTGAGAATCGCCTGGACCCTTTCACACGCAGGCAACTCGTCCGCCCAGGCGGGTGTGGTCAGTAGGTACAAGTGCCGCTCACGTTCCCATCCCCACTGGTTGACTCCACTCAAAAGACACTGCTCGGCATTCGTCCTTCACACCAGTCGCCTAGTCGACGGAGGGTGAAGCGTTGCCATTGCAAGTTTCAATGTTGAGCAGTTCACAGGGGCACTCTCAACACGACACGCAAGAATGGCACAATTACACTTTGAGCCCTGAAGATGATCTCAATAAAAATCGAAACGTTGGCACGATAAAGAAAATGTTTTTCTGAAAGCTACATCACACCAGTCCGCATCTCACGATTTCCTAATAATCGTTGGCCAGTTCATTGATGATATTCGTATTAGTCCCGTAATATGGGACATGAGGTGTGAGGAAGTAGGAAGTAGCACAACAGTATTTGGGAGAAAGCGCCCGTTTCCCAATTCCATAACCACGGATAAACCCACGCTTTTCTTTACTGGGTTTCCTTTGCTTCTCTTTTGGCAGAAGAGCAAGCACAAGAAGTGCTTCTGCTTCCTCGGGTTCTAACATGTACTGACCTCCCGTTGGGAAGAGAGGTTATTCTACAATTAGCCTGGTGTGAAACCGAGTTTTCACACGGCAGTAAACTGGTTGAGAGTCAACCGGGCAACTTAGTTGAATCAATCAAATCGCCTCGTCTGAAAGAGGCTTAGGATCTGTTGAATGTAGCTCTCTTAAAATAGTTTCTGATGCTCCTATTTCTTTAGTATGCGTCTAACCTAGTACCCACGTCCTTTCCCCTTTTCTTCTGTTCTCTCGTAGCAATTCAACCCATCTCAAGAAACAAAATTTTCGTTGGAACAAAAATTGGATAGATTTTTCAAGCACTAGACTATGAAGCCCACATTTTAGTGATAATAGGCGAAGTGTCAAAAGAGGAGAGGAAAGCTGTCAGCTGTACTGACTACTACTTGCAAACGTAAAGGAATACTGCCAGAATTTCCAGACGCTGGCACTAGTCAAAAATGTACCTCAAGTTGCTTCCCAGTAAACAACTATTGCCCGCCCCTGTCGGTGCCAATGCTGTAAGTACCTCAACTGGCATATCATTAGCATCAAGTACACAGCAAAAGAGTTTTTTTGCGTTCGTACGTTCAGAGATGTCAGGAGAGACATTCCATTGTATTCGGAAGAATCAGCGAGAATCTAATGCCTTGCCAGCAGGCGTTTCTTTATAACTGGCTGCAAACCATTTGGCCTAGTTAAGAGGTGGTTGTGAAGACTATGAAATCTATAATTCCGACGAAACTGGACTGTCTTACGTTTCGACGTTACGTTTTAAACACGAAAACTCTAGTGGTGGAAAGCTTTCAAAAGAAAGGATGACTGTTACGGTTGCTCCAAATCTAACTGGAACTGAAAAATTAAAATATTTAACGATCGGAAAATATAAAAAAACCGAGGGTGCTTAAAAGCATAAAATCTGTGCCAGTTGGCTACCATTCCATTTCTAAATCATGGATGACGGGGGTCATTTTTGAAAAATGGTTGCAGAAATGAGACCAAGAACCTATTCGTACAAAAAAGTCCTTGTGGACAACTGCCCAACAGACCCTTCAGTTAATGGCCTTCAAGCGGTTAAATTAACTTTTTCCCTCCCAACACAACAATGTTACAAGCTATGGACTAGGGAGTGATAAAATCATTGAAAGTTAATTTCAGAATTTTTTATTTAAATCGACGACATTGAAATTAAGAGAACCGAAGATCTCAATACTGGATGCTAACAACGCTAGAAAATGCGTGGAATTGTGTAAAACCTACGATTTTGATTTTTCTGACATTCTGTATTCGGAATTGACAATTCTTCCACCTCTCAAATTCAAGGATGGAAGAATTAAGTCAACAAGGACGGATTATACATAATAGAATGAAGAAGGATAAAAACGGACAAGGTAAATATGAATTAAAATAGTACAAATGACAGCATCCTTAATTAAGTAAATTTAACTGTTATTCTCTGCTATGCTGACAAAACTGACATGTAAAATTTTATAGTATAACAAAATATAAGTAGGTAGCACATACAGTAAAGGTTTCTTCGATTTAGGTCATGCGTTAGATCAACCGAGTTTAAACTCTCGCGTGATTTAGATTCATGAACATGCCCTCGGAAAAGCCGGCCGAGCATAACGGCCGCGGAGGTCGGCAAGGATTTTTCCTCTTTACGGTGGTGAAGAAATTAAAAAAGTACCGGATTTCCACCTCCGGATGGACGGCGAATCGATAGGACCGTTGTAAGGACCAATTGACCTAAGATAAATCGGAATCCCGTAAGAGTTTTCAGCCGGACAAAGACCAAATGTGTCCTCGAAATGTACCGTTAGACTCGGGTAGATTCGACATTATGCACTTATATAAGTTAGGAAAAGTGAAACCTACATGCTGGAAAAAGGTATGAGCTGACCGAAATGCACGGCTGTGCGCTGCGTGAAGCATGTCGGTGGTTCCTGCGAAGTCCAATTAATGAACTTTCCATCAAACGGATTGTTACCTGTGACGCGTGCGGTCTTTCAGGAAGAGCTAGGCTTCATTCGTAACAACCGAAATGCCACACGTGGCTTTTTTGAAATGTGTGGTTTGCATTTGCAGTTCACGAAAGGTCGGTTCATGAATTCAAGTGAGGTATGAAAGGATTTATGAAATGTTCCCAAGGTACTCAATTCTTTTGGATCCTAAATTTGTACACAGATGGACGCATTTAACGCACTCCATTGATTTAGTTTAAAATTAAATCAATGGAACTTTTTATTTAGTTGCAGGTAATTAGGAGCTATCGTAGTCAAAATAAACAGTCAATAACGATTTGTTTACTTCTTTTGTTTACTTTTGTTCTGATTTGCACAAAAATTAGCATTTTGCCGTTCCATTCTGCTACTAAATATCGCTTTCAGTTAACCTTTTTCCTTCGTTGGTTTCATTTGATATTATTCTTATTCTTAAACCTTTTTCGACGCCTCCAGTCAGGCATTTGATTCAGTATGAGTGTCAGGCTCATAACATTATTATAGGAAAGATGAACCCAGCGCGAAGTTTACAAGAGACTGTAAATCACTATACTGTATGAAGGGTTTTCGGCGCTTTAGAGAAACAGGGCTTCACACTAGAAGGCCAGGACAGGGTCGACCTAGGTGTACATACCAGAGAGACGATAGACTCATCCGTCAACAGGCTCTAGGAATTACGGGAAACGAGATAAGAAATCTGATAAGACAAGGCCTAAGATTGAAGGTGTGCATTTGTCCTCGTGTCATTTTTCACGTTTTACACCATTCTTCAATGAGCCCAAGATGCCCCTGGATATCTTCCGCTCTTGTTGTATTAGAAGGTATGTGCAAGTCAGAAGTATAAATGGTAAGATGGGACTGGGAATGCTCCCTCGTGGGACTCCCACTGCCGAGATTTTGCTAAATAAATTTTTTTTTTAAATCGCACATTTCTTCGGGAAATTTTTATTCAAATATTTTAGGTTACATTGCGCCATTTTCATGTAGTACAAGAAATGGTACATATTTTCATCTAACCAATTAATTGCACAAGAGTTAAACTTTCATTATTCACCTCATTTTAATTATACATATATTATTATCTAGATAATTATTTCATTTCACAAATTCCCATTTGAGTATGCATGGTTTGTTAATTATGATGTTTTGTATGGTTCATGTTTCCGGATTTAATGTAGTTTGACCAATACGATTCTGATTGTAACAGTAACGTTTTGCCACAAATTCTATTGAAATTGATTCACTTGACCTCGGTATGGTAAAATTGCCAAATTTAACATTGATCGGCGTTGTTGATATGTTGTCCCAACCAATTCGGACGCAATGTAAACTTTAATTATGTCGTTGGAAAGGGAATCGGCGTCGCAATCTTTTGCCCTTCAAAGGCGCGAAGCTGAGGCTGTCAATAGAAGCCGACAATGGCAACTTGAAGGCAGGATGGACACAATAGGAGTTTTGTTATCGGACGACACCGACGTTTTTAATTATCGACTGTTAATTGTATAATATTACGACACAAAATGTCTTCTTTTGTTTTTCACTTGGGAACACTACCAAAATTCAGCACGAAAATCAAGAAATTGGATAACGAAATTGTCTATTTTCTTACCAGTTTTATTTCATATTATCCTTGGAACATCACATTATACACGCGAAAACGCGTATTTTGTTGTTTATTTCAAACTATGTACTATATTTATTATTACATCAAATACAACATACTTTGAACAAACCAAATTAAACGGTATCAAAAATTGATGCTTTAATAAAAATTAAATTCACTAATTTCATGGTCCGCGTGACCAATTAATACATTACAATTAATTAAGATTTTTAGTTGAGATGAAAAAAAGTTAATGGCACGAGAGGGATTCGAACCCACGACCTTCGGCTAGATACGCCGCTGCTCTACCACCTGAGCCCCTGCCATTGAAAAATGGCAAAAGGAGGGAAAACTCATAAGGTGGGGTTGAGATGGGGAGTTGATGTCCGAGTGGATCGAGGTCACGATAGCTCAGGTGGTAGAGCAGCGGCGTATCTAGCCGAAGGTCGTGGGTTCGAATCCCTCTCGTGCCATTAACTTTTTTTCATCTCAACTAAAAACCTTAATTAATTGTAATGTATTAATTGGTCAAGCGGACCACGAAAATAGTGAATTTAATGAATTAACTGAAGTACACTTCACTAAAGCTCTCCGTCGCCATTTCAATTGTCGTCGAGAATCCAAACCGATTACACGACATTTGAAAAATGGCAAAAGGAGGGAAAACTCATAAGGTGGGGTTGAGATTGGGGTGTTGATGTCCGAGTGGATTGAGGTCACGATAGCTCAGGTGGTAGAGCAGCGGCGTATCTAGCCGAAGGTCGTGGGTTCGAATCCCTCTCGTGCCATTAACTTTTTTCATCTCAACTAAAAATCTTAATTAATAATAAAAATTAATTAAATACACTAGAGTTAGTGGCCCGCTTGACCAATTAATATCTTTCAATTAATTACGGTTTTTAGTTGAGATAAAAAAGTCAGTGACACGAGTAGGTTTCGAACCCACGATCTTCGGCTAGATATGCTGCTGCTCTACCACGATAGCTCAAGTGGTAGAGTAGCGGCGTATCAAGCCGAAGGTCGTGGGTTCGAATCCCGCTCGTGACACTGACTTTTTTATCTCAACTAAAAACCTTAATTAATTGAAATTATTTAAATTGTATGGTTAGAAAGAAAATTCACAAAACAATCAAAATCATTTAGTGGTAGATTAAAATTTAACAAACAATTTATTGCCATTAATGCATATTACCTCTTCTGGTCTTGTGGAGTTTCATAAGCATCGAATAAATAAGCTTATTTAATTAAATATTATAGCTTACATAAAAAATCAGATTTCATCTTGTGGTCAACAACAGCAGTTTGAAGCTGTTCTACGCTTGTTGGAGGTGGTGAACGAAGTCCAACCCATCTCTTTATCATGTCACATAAGCCTTCTAGAGTGGTAACTGGAGCTTATCAAGCATTATCATGCATTGACAGAAAGTTGTCCCCAATAAATGGATCAAATAGAACCAACCACACCTTCCAGAAGTATCTCCCCAATGTACCTAACTACGGTCAAAGAATCATTCTGTACGGTAATCGACGTTGATTCCACACTATGCTTAAAACTTAAGGCAAAGTGTTCACTACATCTCCAGGCATGGTCCCGGAATTTCATTGCTACAAACCAAACAGGCACTCATGTGTGAAGAGAACAGCCTCCTTTGTCCAATTGTCCAAGCAAGATGCTGATTTGCAAATAGTCGCCTTTCTACTTGATGCCTCTCCAATAGTAAAGAACCTGATGCAGGATCTCCTGATAATAGGCTATTCTCAAGAAGCCTTCTGATGACTGATTTAGAGCCCACCCTTTCATCTGGACCGTTTTGAGTTGACTACCTATCAGGGAATCTATTAAATGACAGTTCCATAGTGCGATAAGAACAGTAAAACAATCATTGACAAATGTAGCCGTAGTACATAGTGGTCGAACACGTCCTTCTCTTTGATCTAGACTTCTGGTGACCCTAAAATTGCTGTAGACCATTGTAGATGGTAGACCCAGAAGTGGGCTATGTAATGGATGCTACTTCCATTGTTAGCCAAAGCATCTGCCTGGTCTTAATCTTTTCCACTTAAAAAAAACCTTAATTAAAAAAAGGAAAATCAATTAAAAAATAATAATAACAAAAAACTCACGTGACCAGTTGGCTCTGGAAGGGATGAAATTGAATTAATTTTATTTATTGTTTTAAAATTTACACAAATATGCAACATTAAATTTTTTAGTATTTACAAGGGGAAGTGGCAGGGCAATATTACATCCCTTATATTTGTAAGTAAAGCTCCATCCTTTGAAAAATGGCAAAAAGGAGGGAAAATTCAAAAGGTGGGGTTGAGATGGGAAGTTGTGTCAGAGTGGATCGAAGTCATGATAGCTCAAGTGGTAGAGTAGCAGCATATCAAGCCAAAGGTCGTGGGTTCGAATCCCGCTCGTGACACTGACTTTTTTATCTCAACATAAAACCTTAATTAATAGAATGGTATTAATTGGTCAAGCAGACCACGAAAAATAGTGAATTTAATGAATTAAAATGAATTATACTTCACTAAAGCTCTCCGTGGCCATTTCATTTGTCGCCGAGAATCAAATAGGATTACACGACATTTGAGAAATGGCAAAAAGTAGGGAAAATTCAAAAGGTGGGGTTGAGATGGGAAGTTAGTGTCCGAGTGGATCGAAGTCATGATAGCTCAAGTGGTAGAGCAGCGCCGTATTTAGCTGAAGGTCGTGGGTTCGAAACCCGCTCGTAACGCTGACTTTTTTATCTCAACTTAAAACCTTAATTAATTGAATGGTATAAGTAAAACCTAATTAATATAAATGATAATTTTTTATATATATATTTACCTTTTGTAATTATTTTTGGTAGTTGAATTTTCGTAGGTTGATATTTTTAATGTATAAGAATAGTTTTTTGTACTGTTGTATTTTGTTTTCAGGAAATAATTAAGAATAAGCAGTGTGGGTATGATGTTAGAAGAAACCCAAATGAACGCTATGTAAGTTATTGCTTTTTAAGATTTTAAATAATTAATCTTTAACAATAACAGATTAAATTAGGTTTAATTCACTAACCAAAACAAAGTTTAATGCTTAAATTTGGAAAATTGCAATCACAAATGTTACTAAAAACAGCTGCACCAGCACTAGAAAATTATTAACTTTTGCACAGTATATATATGGGGATTTTAAGCACAAATACTCTGCTTTTAAAACAATAAGGTTTTCAAGTATGGTTAAAATATAAGCACTAAATATTAAAGTTACAATCACTGAATCTAAAACAGTTTTGGTCCACTCTGACAAAATTGACTTATCTGTTAAACAATAAAATAATCCTTTTGTAGATTAAAATGACCACATTTCATATAATTTATTTATTATTAATTTAAAAAATCCTTCGATTTGGTGTATAAAATGGCCTCAGCAAAACCACTTGTTTTATTTTAACTTTTTTTAAATTTTAAATATGGCCATTTTATCAGCATGAAATGCTTTAAATAATATAACAGCAACTAATAAAAATTGGTGGTGGCAGTTTGCCGACGGTTGGGCGAACCTCTCTCCAACGCAGAGCGAGGAAAGAAATATTTTTGAGCGGGGTTGCATGAGAGCCGGTGAGGAATGGGTCGAGGCGAATCTCATACCAGTCGCCGGCGTCGCAGTCACGCTTTGCATAACACAAGTAAGTCGCTCGACTAACATGCTTTAAGCTTTCGCAGGTTTTTGGTTGTACAGTGGCTGGCAGGTTGGGTGAACGGCGATAGGCTCAGTCGGGCTCTGACTCAAGAGACGTTTTAAATGTTGTAGAGGATCGGTCAGAACTACGATGCCTCGAAAATAATCTACGAGAAAGGCTGTATACAAGCGGGTGAAGAGTGGGTCGAAAGGAATCTACTTGTCATAGTAACAGCAGCGATTATTATTTCTTTCCTACAGGCATGTAAATTATTATTTACTTTTAAAAGTGTACTTTATTGTGGATAAGGTAAAAGAATAATAATTATTGAATACTATAATTTTGATTACTGATAAGGATACAACGTAAGATAAATTATTTTCAAAGGACATTTAGTTAATTTCTTACAGATAATTAATGCCATTTGACATCCAATGTGATTTTTCAAACTAAATTTACTTCTGTTCTATTTTTTCTTAGTAAATTGGACTTAAATAAAAATAATTATTTAAACAAATAATTTGTTTTTATTAAATTTGCTATATTCTTAAAAGTATAATGGTAAGACAGTAATTTTCAAGAAAATCTGAGTGTTCTGACAATAATCTACATTATATTTACCTTCTTAAATTCACTAGTTTCGTGGTCCGCTTGACCAATTAATATCTAATTAATTAAGGTTATTAGTTGAGATAAAAGTCAATGGCACGAGCGGGATTTGAACCCACAATCTTCGGCTAGATACGCCAAATAGATAGTGTCCTAGTGGATCGAGGTCACGATAGCTCATTTGGTAGAGCAGCGGCGTATCGAGCCGAAGATCGTGGGTTCGAATCCCGCTCGTGCTATTGATTTTTTTATCTCAACTAAAAACCTTAATTAATTGTAAGATATTAATTGGTCAAGCTGACCACGAAACTAGTGAATTTAATAAGTTTCAAATTAAGTATACCTTCACTAAAAAGCTCTCCGTGGCCATTTCATTTGTCGCTGAGAATCAAATAGATTTCACGACATTTGAAAAATGGCAAAAAGGAGGGAAAAATCAAAAGGTGTGGTTGAGGTGGGAAGTTAGTGTCTGAGTGGATCAAGGTCACGATAGCTCAAGTGGTAGAGCAGCGGCATATCTAGCCAATATTTTTTTTTTTTTTTGGTGGGAGGGCTTAAAAAAAAAAAATCGACACCCTGATCCACTCGGACACTAACTTCCTATCTCAACCCCACCTTTTGAATTTTCCCTCCTTTTTGCCATTTTGAACGATAGCTCAAGTGGTAGAGCAGTGGCGTATCTAGCCGAAGATCGTGGGTTCGAATCCTGCTCATGCCATTTGACTTTTTTATCTCAACTAAAAACCTTAATTAATTGTTGTTTTTTTTATAGCTTTTTTTAAGTAAATATAGTATTTATTTGTTACAGATATTGGGCATCTGCTTTGCTCAGAATTTGCGTGCTGACATATTTGCTCAGAAGGCCAAATGGCATTGACAATCAGCCCTCCACACCACAGCTCTTTAGTGGTGTAGTCCTGGGGCAAGAAAAGGTCCTCGGCGAATGAGCAAGAACCGACGTCTACCATCATCCCGAAACTAAATCCATCCTCAAAGAATTATACAAATACTCCAACGATCCTGCAAATGATACGCAGATGAACAATTTTGAAAACGACTTTCTTCTAAGTCAGCTTGCGCGAATGCGGTTTGCCAAGCTTGTTTCTTATATTAATGTGATTAACAGGTGTACATATTACTCACGATCCATTGCCAAGAACATTATTTATGTAAGTGTACAGTGTAGGTGTTGCTGTGAAAATGATCCTTTTTTTTCTTTTTTTTTTTAATGAATCCACTACTAGAAAAACTGACATCTTATAAATAAACTCTCAGCAAAGCCAGGCTCAACAGAGATCAAGGCTTTAGAAATAATCTAATAATTGTTTTGTAAAATTTCTCATCACTCTTCTCAAGAAGTGACAGAAAAGCCGACTTTTTTTCAAATATTTATTGACTGGAAAACCCCGGCTTGTTATATTTTCATCGGCATATTCCAAGTTACCCCACTTTTTCGCCTTGATCTACTGACAGGTAAATTTGCCAAACTAGTCCAAATCATTGTTTTGCACTGCCTTTTATGTTTTTAACGTGTTGGATTTCTGTGATACATGTCATTTTAATCCCAAAAGAAAATCTAATACTTGTGCTTAATTCTGGCTTTATAGAAACACCTTTGGGAAGCCAGATACTACTAAAAAATTAGCAGCAATTTACTCCTTTCTATACATCAGTATTTTTAAAGTTAAAATAGTAAGCTTGGCAAAGTATTAAGGGCTTTTGTTTCGGTCTAATTTGTTGGACTTTGCATTTGCATAAAAAAGCTCTTAAAATGATTTTTATGAAAATTGTACTAATATAATATTTCTACAGCTTTCTCTTTTAGAGTAAACTTGATTAATAATATTAAATATCCCTCGTGGAAATCAACGGGAACATTTTAGTTAGTTATAAACAGTCAAGTATCCCGGGATTTAGGTTAAACTTACAGAGTAATAATAATCTCATAAAGCTGACAGTCCCTATGTAATTGTTGAGCTATTCGTGCAAGTCTTTAATATCAAGGATTTACCTTAAAATTGGAGAATTTACAATCTTTTCTCTTGTTATTCAACTCATACTAGGATAAGCAGTAAAAAATTGATGTAAATTGACTTTTAGGTCATTTAGTATAAATTTGTAAACTCTGCAGATTTGCAACTGCTTTTTACTATGTCTCAGGAAACTAATAATTTGATTTATGATTTCACTAGCTGAAAGGCAAGATATGGTTAAAATAGTGAGGTAAATTGGAATTGCTGTTGAATAGAGGAGAAAGGGAGAGAGGAGAAAGAGAGAAAGAGGAGAAAAAGAGAGAGAGAGAAACTGAAAGAAACTCATCCAAACATGAATCGTCAGATTGTTGGGGGAAGAGAATGTCCCAAGATTCTTCCATCTAACAGAGTGCAATATATTTTTAATAATGTAGTTCCATTCCCTAAAATTACCTTATTTTTATGCTAATCATGCAGACGACCATGATACAACTCTGGATATTTGGACATGCCATCCTTTCTCTGAGTGTGATTAAAAAATGTAAATAATATCCCCCTTAATCTATTGCCAAGAAAGTTATATGTGAGTATCCAGTATTATAGTTTTTTTTCTTTGGACGAACCGATTTGTCTTATTGTACTTAAAACAAAAATCGAGATGATAAATTTTAATATTAGCAATATTGACACAATTTGTATATAAATGTTATAAATATATGAGTATTATATATAATAAACTAATGTTTGCTCTCTAACCATCCTTCAAGGAGCCATTGTGCAGATGTAATTTTTAAATAAAAACTATAATTTACAATTATTTGATAGTTTTCAAATTATCCCATTTCCTAATTTTCCTCAGTAAATATATTGAATCTCAATATATATTGAATAATCATTTTTGAAATTTAAAAAGGTAAACTTATATTATTGACATGACAATTAAGGTTTTCAGTTGAGATAAAAAAGTCAATGGCATGAGCAGGATTCGAACCCACGATCTTCGGATTGATACGCTGCTCTACCACTTGAGCTATCGTGCAAAATGGCAAAAAGGAGAGAAAATTCAAAAGGTGTGGTTGAGATGGGAAGTTGATGTCCGAGTGGATCGAGGACACGATAGCTCAAGTGGTAGAGCAGCGTCGTATCAAGCCGAAGATCGTGGGTTCGAATCCCGCTCGTGCCATTGACTTTTTTTATCTCAACTGAAAACCTTAATTAATTGTAATATATTCATTGATCAAGCGGACCACGAAACTAGTGAATTGAATAAGTTTAAAATGAAGTATCACTTCACTAAAGCTCTCTGTGGCCATTTCATTTGTCGCTGAGAATCAAATTGATTACACGACATTTGAAAAATGACAAAAAGGAGGGAAAATACAAAAGGTGTGGTTGAGATGGGAAGGTGATGTCCGAGTGGATTGAGGTCACGATAGCTCAAGTGGTAGAGCAGCAGCGTATCAAGCCGAAGATCATGGGTTCGAATCCCACTCGTGCCATTGACTTTTTTATCTCAACTGAAAGCCTTAATTAATTGTAACATATCAATTGGTCAAGCGGACCACGAAACTAGTGACTTATTGACCTTGTTGATGTACGTTTGGGAGATTATGCCAAAGGAAAGTCAATAAGGAAAACTTACTATTTCTATTTTATTTGTAAAAAAATATATGACCTGGTGTGGTCTTGGATATTCACCAAGAATTTTGGTGAAGCTTAAGAAGCTTAAGCGCAATCCTCCAGCTACTTATTACCTTATCTTAAGTACTATTGTGCTTTATATAAGTAGTTATATATGCTTAACTACTATTCGTTACAAATATTCCACAAATCAATTGTAGATATTATTCCAGCAGATATCTACTAATTAGATAATGTTTACCAAAACTCATGAATTTACGATCCCGTTTAATTTGGTTTTCATTAAAATAAGTACAACAGAGTGACAAAATTATAGACACACCCCTAATTGTTATGATTTTTTAATGTAATGGGTTTGTACTACAAATATTTATTCAAAACACATGAAATAAATATTTTTCTTCCTTTAAATTTTCAGTAAATAAGAGAAAAAAATTTTAAAATACTAAAATTAAACGATTTTGGCTGCGACAAAATTATAAACGCATGGGATAAAATCAATTTAAAACAAGGTTATTATTTTGTAGCATTACCACTCAGTTTTATTATTTCCAGTATCTTTCTGGAATGGTTTTGTACAAATTTTGAATAAAATCTTGAGGCAAATTATTCCAGGCAGTGGCGACAGCAGTTTTAAGTTCGTCGACAGAGTTGTACTGCTTACAGTCTTGGTATACCATCGTCGTTAATTTTCCCCATACATTTTCTATAATTCCCGCTTGACCAATTAATAAATTCAATTAATCAAGGTTTTTAAGTTGAGATAAAAAAAGTCAGTGTCATGAGCGGGATTCGAACCCACGACCCTCGGCTTGATATGCCGTTACTCTACCACTTGAGCTATCGTCACTTCGATCTCCTCGGGCACTAACTTCCCATCTCAACCCAACCTTTTGAATTTTCCCTCCTTTTTGTCATTTTTCAAGGAGGGAATTATAGTGTGCCAGACACAATAAAATGCCAATGCAAAATTCTGTACGTCAATAAAAACATACCCACACTTGTTCATATTGAAATTATGCAAATCATATCTACAATCTATTCTAGATTGTACATCTATTCTACTCAGAACTACTTTCTGTAACTTTTGATAAGTGCGTACAATTTGCTTCAAACTTAAAGCCCTCAAATTATATCAAGTTACCATCTTACGTGCCTTCTTACGTGCCACATTTAAAACAAATCGTGCTTATAAGCTTTACAATAATGATTGATCATTAAAATATGAATTGAAGTCACGATAGCTCAAGTGGTAGAGTAACGGCATATCAAGCCGAGGGTCGTGGGTTCGAATCCCGCTCGTGACACTGACTTATTTATCTCAACTTAAAACCTTAATTAATTGAATTTTCTATAATGTTCAAGTCTGGTGAGAGTGCAGGCCATTCAAGTTCTTCAATGCTGTTCTGTGAAAACCATTCTTTAACAATTTTTGCATTTTGTATGGGTGCGTTGACCTTCTGGAATATTGGAGTCCCTTCGCATAAATTGCTGAAACTAGTTTTTTTCTTTGTACAGTAATTTCTTGTAATATTCCGAATTGACTTTTTTTGAAAGATTTCCTTTTTTATTACAACCAATACACCCCCAAATCATCAAAGATCCACCACCCGTTTGGCGCCATGATAAAATTTTTTCTTCTTTAGTTATATCATGAAAGTAGTATGCGTATCCGGGCCGTCCAAATTGAATTTTTTTTCATCAGAAAAAATAACTTTTCGCCAATAATCTTCATTTTTCAAAATGTGGTTTTCAGCAAATTTGTCACGGGGTAGTTTGTGGTGGGGTTTCATAGCTGGTTTGCGTTTCAGTTTTCTTCGGACTATGTTTTCAGTTTTTTTTAAGGAATCTGAACAGTAGAACAGAAACATCAACACCTGCCTTCTCTGCGATGGCTTTTGCAGTTAAAAAGCTGTTTGAAGCAACGCGCACGATGTGCAATTTGCCTCTTCTGGTCAAGGAAGGCCCTCTTGCATAGTCTTCACCTAGTCGTATTATCTTCGGTACCGATGAAAAACTTCATTTTATGCGTCGGGCGATATCTCGGCAGCTCATTCCATCTTCATTGAGCAAGTGAATCAACCGGCGCTCCTCATCAGAAAATCTTTTTCCTTTGGGCATTTTAAAATAACTTTGAATTGCTCCAAATGAACTAGTAATCACTTTACTATGGCATGGTGCAGTGAATACCAAATAAACCTTTGGAGTTATAAAATAAACTTAAATAAAATGTGTGTCTATAATTCTGTCGCAATTAAATCAAAACAATACTGTTTATTGAGATGTACATTTGTATAAGATTATCAGATCAAGCCATTTCCAGAGTTAATTTTCTTTTAATGTCATGAACAATACAATTAATTAAGGGTTTTAGTTGAGATGAAAAAAAGTTAATGGCACGAGCGGGATTTGAACCCACGATCTTCGGCTAGATACGCCGCTGCTCTACCACTTGAGCTCCTATCTCAACCCCACCTTATGAGTTTTTTCACTCAACTAAAAACCTTAATTAATTATAATGTATTAATTGGTCAAGCGTACCATGAAATTAGTGAATTTATCATGAACAATATTCTAATGGCAAAAGAAATCATTTACGACTGTCGAAATCGTGATTTTTTAATGTGTCTATAATTTTGTCTCTCGGTTGTATATCATAATTAATATAACAATAAAAATACTTAAAAATTAACTGAAAAATACGAATCTTTAAGTGAATAAAACACTACTTACTTTTTTTTTACTTCTGGCTCCTTATGCTCGGCGTATCTCTCGAGGCTGTTCCAAAAACCTCATTTCCTTCAGTACATATGCCTTACTTTATCAAATTAAAGCGTAATTGTTTTGCAAGATTTAATTATTTCTTAAATTAATTGGTACAGGGTGAGGATGTATTAATAAAACAGCTGATTAGAAAAACTATTCTTTCTGTTAATTTATTTACTATCATTGAGTGCACATCTTAATTTTTACACTTTTCAACAGAATAATTTATTTAAAAACATTTTGAGTATAACAATATAATTTATGTGCCCTTGAATATAATTTCTTTTAATATATATATATTTTTATATTACAATAATGATATGATCTCAGCGTCTCTGAGATTTACTTTACTTATCGACCATGTTCATAAAACTATTCAATTTTCCTTACATGTATATATATATTTATATACCTTTATATATTTTTTTCATTTTTTCGAGCAAATCTCTAATCAGAATTTGTTTTGATCACGTCTGTTTTTTATCCGAATATAAAAAATAATATAACAAACCATAAACGATCTAACAATTAAGTCATAGAAACTACATTGTTTCAACGTAAAATTAAACAGTCTATAAATTAGTTTAATCTATACAAAATAAATAAAAATCGCTAAACATTAAAACTATACAATTGGTAAGTGCTAAGGCCCTATGCAATTAATCTATTGACTACTTACTTTAAATATGTATAAATAAATTATTTCACGTTTAAAAATTAGAGAAACAAGAAAGAAACAAAAATACAGTAACTGTAATTGTCGTTAAATAAATTTTTTTAATTCGGTTAAGATTGGTTGCAAGCCTAAAAACAATGTAGCTTTTCAGTTTGGAAGCCACTTGGATCTACTTACAAAACTACTTCCTTTTATGAACATGTGCTAACAAAAACCTGTGCATTTTGTAAGTTATTTTATACTTATTTAAAAAACATTTTTTGAAAAAAGATGAAAAAAATAGAAGAAGAAAGTATTTCGAGATATTTATTGTTTTCAACCTTGCAAATAATGTTTTATAAGGCACTGTGCAAAGTGCACTTATTTGATTTAGTGTTATTTTATTTGTTCATTTTCTAAGAAACATAACTTTTGCCTCTAAATTTAATTTGACGTACATTTATTATACAAAGTGTTAATATAAAAGTGAATGCTGTACACAACCCTTTTATTCCTCAATTAATTAGCTTTGAATATATTATTATCTTCAATGGTTTAAGAATCCGTTTTCAATTTATTTGTCAAATATATCTCTTCCAATTTAAATTAAGTACAAACAGTCAAAAATATAACGCACACATCATTGTTATAAAAATTCACAACAACCGACCATTCACCCAAATATCCATCATACATTACAAACAACTTAAAAAATAAAAGTTACTAATCACAGTCATATTTTATAACCTATCATCACTTTAGAAATAAATATCTTTTTTTTTTTTTTAATTGTATTAGCTGAATAAAATACGCTCTCCCTCCTTTAAATTGACTCTTACACATTGGCAGCATCTGCGGTTAAACAAGGTGGGAGGCTGATTATGACCTATGTGATGACCTGCGCCTCGGTGTCCTCAACTTCCAGAGACCTTTCACCGCTCTGTGTGCTTGAGGCAGAAAGTGTTGGCGCTTTCTCCTCAAACACTGAAACACATTTGTTAAATAAATGCCTTAACCTAAGCATTAAGAGATGAAGTGATCATTAATGGTAAGATTCAATTAATTAAGGTTTTAAGTTGAGATAAAAAAGTCAGTGTCACGAGCGGAATTCGAACCCACGGCCTTCGGCTTGGTACGCCGCTACTCTACCACTTGAGCTATCGTGACTTCGATCCCCTCGGGCACTAACTTCCCATCTCAACCTCAACTATCGAATTTTCCCTCCTTTTTGCCATTTTTCAAATGTCATGTAATCTATTTGATTCTCGGCGACAAATGAAATGGCCACGGAGAGCTTTCGTGAAGGTATACTTCATTTTAACTTATTAAATTCACTAGTTTTCATGGTCCGCTTTACCACTTTTGTTTTTGAGAAACTAGGTCCTACCATAGAAGGCCAGGTTCTGGACGCCCTAGGGTAACAAAACTACAAGATGATCAACCATTTTTAACTTTGTGAATTTTGCGAAACCGGTACCTTAAGGTTGTTCAAAAGATTCATAAGCTCCAGGAAGTTCAAGGTGTCCAAAATTTTTGAACGAACTACTCGAAGACGATTAAATTAGTATGGACAGATGAGGACTAAGTTGAAGTTAGTGCCCGTGGGGATCGAAGCACAATAGCTCAAGTGGTAGAGTAGCGGCGTATCAAGCCGAAGGTCGTGGATTCGAATCCCGCTTGTGACACTGACTTTTTTATCTCAACTTAAAACCTTAATTAATTGAATGATATTAATTGGTCAAGCGGACCACAAAAAATAGTGAATTTAATGAATTAAAATGAAGTATACTTCACTAAAACTCTCCGTGGCCTTTTCATTTGCCGCCTAGAATCAAATAGATTACACGACATTTGAAAAATGGCAAAAAGGAGGGAAAATTCAAAAGGTGGGGTTGTGATGGGAAGTTAGTGCTCACGGGGATAGAAGGGATAGAAGTCATGATAGCTCAAGTGGTAGAGTATCGGCGTATCAAGCTGAAGGTCGTGGGTTCGAATCCCGCTTGTGACACTGACTTTTTTATCTCATCTTAAAACCTTAATTAATTGAATGTAATTAATTGGTCAAGAGGACCACAAAAAATAGGGAATTAATGGTAAGGTTATATTTTTAGAGAATTTTTCAATAATAAAGGTAATTTCTTATAAAATGGTTGACTCACATTTATCTAGACTTATAATAGATCCTGATGTGACAAGATCTGTGACGGTTATAACTGGCTGGGACTCGTCAAGGTGCGTTCTCCGTCTCACAAGCCACCAGTCGACTAGAAAGAGGGAGAGGGCAAGCAATTTGATACCAGCGCACAATCCCACATACCTAAAAAAAAAATTGTTTAAAAACTAGAAAAAATAACGATTAAAAATCAGTTACTTGTATCTAAATTGCTCGATGTCATATAGTAAACATCGTCCTCCTTTCTCTCCGCACGTCGACTTCCATAAAAGACAAGTGGAGTCGATAAGGTTGCCAAAGAGAATCGGTGCTGGAATGTAGCCAAAAAGTCTGAATATTACAAACTGCATCCCTAGAGCGAACGAACGCTCTTCCGCATTGACAGAACGGAGTACTATCATGAGTAAAGGCATCTGTGTGACGGCAACAATAAACGTCATAAAAAATAAGAGAATCAGGAATGGAAATATAGTATGGCATGGTGAACTACACGGCCCTGCTGTTGCCACAGGAACCACTGTCACCTCAGCAAAATCCGTCAGTGGTGCTGATATACTGCTCAAATTACCATGTATACCTATAAAAAAATAATTTATTTCTATATGTTTGTTTACGGTATAGTCTACTTGTTAGATTTGTACTAGAACTGATTACAACAATGACTTGCAATTATTAAAGAATTTTAATGATTTTATTTAAATTTAGGAATAACTATTATTTATAACAAATGTTTGACTTACATGCACAATTTGTGTAATTTGATCTCGATGATAATGCTGTACAGCCAGCATGACAGGGACTAAAATAAGTAAGGCCGTTGTTTCCACAAACTGGCTCAACATCTGTGGTATGGCATTCACAGCCAAAATTACAAGCGGCTGTAAGGTTCACTTGAAACGGCTCACCCCTTGAGCTAAAATATAAAAACCAAAGTTAAAAAAATTTATATATTTTTGTAAGTAAATACTTACCAGAGATAATAGATAATGGTAGCAAAAAAGGAGAAGTGTATAGTTAAAAAAATCAAATGTCATTGATAGTTACCTGTTAGTGTAGGGAATCGTCGTGCCAGCCATTTTGACATTGTCGCATCCCAGGAAAAACAGGAGAGCGTAACAAGCAAGGCAAATTGTATTGGAAACGAGGACAAACTGCACGGCGCCTTTCGGTCGCAGTTCCAGCCTCTTCAGGAGGCATCCGCCCATGAAAATGCCGATGCACGCTCCGGGAATAGCAATCGAGCCGGTGAACACACTGGCTTGGCTTTTTCCCAAGCTGAATTGTGTCTCGAGGTATTTCGGGAGAAAAACGACAAACCCGGACACGATGACAAGCTCCATGCACGCTCCAAGGCATGTCACAACATAAATCGGGTTACAGACAAGCCTCCACATCGACCGTGGGATATCTAAAATAATATTTAAAGATAGAAACAAAAGTTGTAACAAAATTAACGAAACAAATACCTTTAACATCTTTGCCATATGCCGAATCTTTATTGTTACTCTGGGGTACAGTGGCCTGTACATCAGTAGGTTTCTGCTGTTCCTTGGGTGTCGCCAGGCCACTTTTCTCCATTAGACGAATCCTTTCCTTTTCTCTCTTAAAATTGAACGATCAGGTTAGTAAAAACGTTTTCAAAATTTATCAAGAGAAGAAAGTTGCTTACAGTTAAAACCTTGGGAAATGAAAAAAATGGAATTGCTACGATAATGAGCATAAGGCCACAGATGAGAAATCCACCCCACCACATTCCAACCCAATTTCTATCTCCAGGATCTGAAAAATAATTATTAATGAAATAATTAAAAATTAAACAATTATAAATAATCAAAAAATAAAAAAGCAATGATAGAGAATGAACAATTCTGGCTCTCACTAATATTTTTCTAAGATAATTTTTACATAAAATTAATAAAAATACATACCTATATCCAGCCGTACTGTCGATAAAGCATCCATGTGAAATGACAGCAAATAAGCACCAAGGAGGAACCCCAGAACGGGGCCAAATGCTGCCATTGAATACATGCAGCCTAAAAAAAAAAAAAAGCGTAAAATATTTTAAAACTATTTTCATCGGTGAATTAAAATCGAAACATACCAATGTAAAGTGAGGCATTCTCTGATTTGACATGGTCGTCAATGTAGGTCGTTCCCAGGGTGAAAAGCGGAGATCCACCGCAGCCGAGGAGGAGCTGGGCCAAGAGGAAAAGCATGACCGGCCCTGCCGTCGACGGGCTCCCTTCGATACAATTCTCCCTCAGATTGTTATGAGGTGCCAGTGGTGGAGCGGAAAGACCTTCAAAATCCAGTTTAACTTCACATTTTAAAACAAAGAGAAAAAGGGCAAATTAATGGAGGACCATGCGGGCTTAAAAAATTCGTCCTACATGCTAAGAAAAAGCTATTTCGAGAGATGAGTATGTATTTTGTTAAAGTTATTTGATATAATTAAAAACAAACAAGTCTGAAATTAATTCTGCATTTATTGTTGTCAACACAAGCTCTCAATGGTAATTAAAAAATCAGCACATGCTTATAATAATTAAATTAGTTTTTAATCTTTCACTTTTGCATTAACTTAATAAATCCCATAAGAAAGATATGTTGCAATTATTATTATTATTTTACTATTCAGCTATGCAAAATCAGCATCAAACAATGAACAGTATTTAAACTTTCATCAAATCTGGTCAAACTGTTTCAAAGATAATGGTACAGAAAGCAGTTCAATAAATTTTTCTAATAGATTTCATCGAGGTTGCTGCCGTTAAGTCAATTGACAAAAATTATGACCAATTCTTTAAATTCACTAATTTCGTGGTCCGCTTGACCAATTAAATCATTACAATTAATTAAGGTTTTTAGTTGAGGAGGAAAAACTCATAAGGTGGGGTTGAGATAGGAAGTTGATTGTCCGAGTGGATCGAGGTCACGATAGCTCAAGTGGTAGAGCAGCGGCGTATCTAGCCGAAGATCGTGGGGTTCGAATCCCACTGGTGCCATTAACTTTTTTTTATCTCAACTAAAAACCTTAATTAATTGTAATTATGACCAATCTTGACACTCAGAAAAAGAAATTTCTTGTTTATTTATTTAGACGGCAAGAAGAGCCAATTTAAAAGATATAACAATAACAAATCTAAAGTGAAAAAAATTCCAAGACAAATATTATTAATATAAAAATATAGAAAAAACAAACATATATACATATATAAATTTAATGGATATAACATAAATATATTTAAAAAAAGCATATACCTATATAAGAAGAGAGAAAAAATTATTTACAATTGTTTAGACAGAGAAAAATATTTTTTTATTGCAGGTGGTTTGTGTCGAACATATCAAGTCACAATTTGTTACCAAAATAGGATGAATTAGCTTTTTTATTACATTTAAAACATGACATCGCAAAGCATTTATCAAAATTAAGTTTAAGTCCATTTTTAGTGCACCAATCAATAAAATTAGAAAAAGCGGTTTGAAGTATTTTCGTGTTTTAGTATATGGTACAGCTTGACATCGTCAGCAAAGAGCAAGAAGTTTATATACTGAGGTAGAAATTCAGCAACACCATTAATAAGGATCATAAATAATAATGGGCCTAAATGAGAACCCTGGGGCACTCCAGGGTTTTGTGTTGATAAATTTAGACAAATAATTATTAATTTGTACGAAGCCATCTACCATGCAAATAACTATGAAACCACAACAATATATAATTTAATAAATTTTCAAAGCAAATTAAAGTTGACACAATAACATGCCTTACTGATGTCCGTGTAAATTACATCAACTTGTTTATTGTGGGGAAAAAGCAGTATAAATTATAATTTTAACAGCAGATTTGAGATGGTTGATTTTTTAGGTTGAAAACCAATGTTCAACGAGTATTATAAATTTGTTGTGGTGATATCACAGACAAGAGATTCAAAAAGTTTAGCAATGGCAGATTGATGGCAAATGGGACGATAGTAATTTCAGATGGACAGCCAGATTTTATTTGGAATTCTATGATTGGTTAAAAATAAGAGGTAAAGGGAAAGCCAATGTCTCAGCCTGCCAGGATCAGGAGCACACCGACTAATGGTGGGGGATGATAAGGAAGGAAGAAAAAAAAAGTTGTGTGTCTCCTCCTCCTGCACCAACAAATATTATAAGTGATCGCTTTGGTCATTTAAAAATAATTTGTGTTTTAATTCAAAAGGTTTATTGTTATTATTTGATCTATTTTCATTTGATGAGTTGTATTTTATTTTATTTTATTTTTTTTTTAACAAAAAATTATGAGTTCAGTTATTTTATTTTGTTATTTTGTTTTTTTGAATTCCTTGGAGTGCTCTCTTTGAGCTCATCCATTTTTTCTACTTCTGTATTGGACATGAGAGCTCTTTGTTTGTACGTATCTCACCGGTGCATCCAAATTTATACGGAGCACTCCAAGAAATTCGAAAAAACAAAATAAAATAACTGCTTATAATTTTTTGTTAAAAAAAAAAATACCACTCATCAAATGAAAATATATCAAATAATAACAATAAACTTTTTGAATTAAAACCCAAATTATTTTAAAAATGACCAAAGCGATCACTTACAATATTTGTTGGAGCAGGAACAGGAGACACGCCTCAATAATTTCTTCTTCTTTTTTTTTCCTTCCTTATCATCTCTCCCCACCATTAGTCGGTGTGCTCCTGATCCTGACAAGAACAGAAAAAATTGTGAGACTGGTTATAAAAAATATTGACACTATTAAATCAGTTTGGGATCAAATTCAATTCAAATTTTGAAGTTAAAAAATAAAGATTAAATAAATAAATCCANTATATACACACACACACATATAAAGGGTTACATGTTAGGACTGGTTAGCCTTAAAATAACATACACAAAAAAATGTAATTTCTAAAGGTACGAAAAATTGAAGTACATACCAGAAGACAATCTCCCTAAGACCATGTCCTGCTCTCTGATGGAAACTGTTTTGCAGATGTTGTCCGAGCTCGAGTTGTTGGCAACGTTGCCTGCGTGTGGCTCGGCTGTGAAATGAGGCACCATGAAGACCAAAGATCCGACGCCCATGATTACCGCACCTAGAAAGAAAACGTTAAGGCCGAACGGCTCAAGGGGGAAAAGCACAACACTTACCAATGCCGATCCAGACTGGTATGTGACGCCGCGAGCCGAGGTAGCTCACGAAGATCACCGTGATCACATTTCCGATCTCGTAAGAGGACGCGATCAGCCCTGAAAGACTGCTGGGAATTTCAAACCTCTTTTCGATGGTCGTTATGACCGAGTTGATATAGCCGGAACTCAGGGCTTGCTGCAGCGTCACCAGAAATGATAGTAATAAAACGAAAACCTGAAGCAAAGAGAAATAACTCTTAAAATCCATCTAAATATGTAGATTTGTCTTTTTATACGCTATTGTTACAAATAAAAGAGGACAAGCAATTGGCAACTTATCAGATCCATTTTACCATCAAATACCACCAGAAATAAATTCATTATCGATCACAGTAAATGATCCTAGTTTTGTACGATATTTCTATATGTATTAATTTGAGATATAAAGGTATAAATAACTACATAATTTTATATGATTTTGATTCCAGAAAATTGCTCCCTTTACTGAAACTTGAATAACTTGGTAATGTTAGTTTAATAAAAGTTTTGACGGAATTAATGCCTCCCATTCCCAGTGGAAGGACAGGATACGTCTTAATTCTTACAAAAGAGGGATCCTTGTTCCCGCTGTTCATCAAGGTGTCACGAATTAATCTGTGGAGATTCGCCCAGAGCGAGGGAAGTGGAATTGCTGATCCCCTAATGGAATTTGTAACGACATGCTTCACCGCTAACAACTGCGATAACTTATTCAAGTTTACATTTTAGGGAGTGGCGTTCAATCCATTTTCGTACTCACTTTGATATTTGCACAGCCTTGGATGAGGAATGGTCTACAGGCGAGGATGCCGCAGTCTCTTATGTCCTGAGGGAGGATGGCTGCCACTTCGGCGAACGTCGCGTGGGCGCGCTCTTTCGCTTCCGTCTTTGCCCTCTCACTGCTAAAAATTAAAAAAACCCGATTTAGCAATGATAATAATTGTAGAACATGAAAGTAAATTCCTTTCATCTAAATAATCTTATTTATTTAAGGTGAGACATTGTGCATTGTGGTGAGGTATGAGAGGCGACCTGTAGCTCCCGATCGTCCTGGTCTATCTAACCTCCTTGGTATTGTGAGTGAGACGCGTTTTGGCATTTCGCCATCTTCAGTGTCTGGTCTGTCCAGACAAAACCAGCAAAAGTAGACGGCCCAATCACGGCTCATCAAATTTCCATATTGCAATTTGGGTATACACTTTCGGAGGACAAGGATGCCCAATGATTGGAATGGCTAGGGGGGAATGCTGGAAGAAGGGAGAGAGTCAATTTTGACGGCAGAAAAGCCAGGTGTGTTCCAGAAACTAAAGTTTGGGTCATAATAATATAAATAAGTTTTATTTGGAGATTTTTCGTTAATTTCACCCCTAGAGAATCTACGCTATAGGATATAGGCTCAAATCTACACATGTACACAGTTTGGAGAAGGTGGTGTAATGGTTTGGGCTGGGATTTATACTGGAGGACGAACTGTGGACTCCACATGAGCTCAAATGCGCACATGCGTGTACGTAGAGTCATGTGCCGAGTTGTGCCTATTCACTTTTCATAGTCCACCAGAAATTCCAGCGTTTGCTGTTTACAATAAACTGCCGGTAGGCTCGAGATCTGTACATACAACAGATCCAAGATATCCATCCAGTCACCGTTTTTTCAGAAATTTTTACTAAAAATAATCCCGATATCGCAACGAAACTTAATTGCACGATATAATTGGAGCATGAAGCTTATTTTGTCCAGTATAAGAGTTTAAATAGACATTTCATCTTACAACCCAACAGCAGGAAAAACTAAATTCACCAGGAGTACAGAAAATAAGAAAGAAAATTCCAAAGATTTTATTGTACTTGCAAACTACTTATAAGTGCCAATACTTACTTAAGTACTCATAATACTTTTTGCTTTTATCATTACTTAAAGGTCGTCTTTCGTGCAAATATTTAATAAGCTTGCTTTATGTTGTTGAAAGACATCATTTACTTTTTAATTAACCGTTGTCAACGTATTGCCCATTTGAAAATAACCGAACGGATGGATTTGTTGAACATTCAGCTTCACTCCATCTTCAGTGAGGATCTCAAAAATCGGACAGTATCTATCACCGATTCGCAGACGAACAAACACAACCAACCTTAATTAATTTAATTGGATTTTCTGTACTTACTCGACGATGCCGGAAGAGGGGTTGCGTGAATGGCACTTGACGTGTGTCGTCGGTGGTGGTTCTGCTGGTGGTATGCTCGGCCCGGCTTCTCCCTCGGAAGGCTCGCTGTACAAGCCGGTCATGGCGTACATGCTCTCCTGCCTCCGGTGGCCCCGGTGTTCGCCGCCTCCGCTGCTCGTCGCCATCGCCTCCTTCTAAACTCCTTTTTTAGAAATCACCTCCAGCAATGGTCATCTGAAAAAGGACAATTTTTATTAATTCCGAAGAAATAAGTTTTCAAAAAAATAATGGGGGCCACATTCAAGGCATGAAGTATTCATATTTTAATTAAAGTTTTTAGTTGAGATAAAAAGGTCAGTGTCACGAGCGGGATTCGAACCCACGACCTTCGGCTAAATACGCCGTTACTCTTCCATTTGAGCTATCGTGACTTCAATTCATATTTTAATGATCAATCATTACTGTAAAGCTTATAAGCACGATTTGTTTTAAATGTGGCACGTAAGAAGGCACGTAAGAAGGCACGTAAGATGGTAACTTGATATAATTTGAGGGTTTTAAGTTTGAAGCAAATTGTACGACCTTATCAAAAGTTGCAGAAAAATTAATTCTGAGTAGAATAGGAAAGTTTCTACCACTATGCAGCTGGTTAGGGTTGTATATATGAAATTGCATAATTTCAATATGAACAAGCATGTGGGTATGTTTTTATTGACGTACAGAATTTTGCATTGGCATTTTATTGTGTCTGGCGCAGAAGGGCTAATTTATAAATAAAAAATTCCCAAAATATTTAATAAGAAATTACTTAACTAACAGGACGTGTGTTGTCTAAATATATGAACGTAAATCATCCCTAAGGGATATAACAGCTGGAGTCTCCAAGGCTCGGTTTTGGGTCCGACTCTATTTAATATTTATATAGACGACTTGTCAAAACTCAAGACAAATTCTGCGCTGGCTTTATTGCCGATGAAACGGCCTTTATAAGGGTCGATGAAATAAGTGATGAGTTAACAAAATCCTTAAAATCTTTGTAAATACTCGTTAAAATGGCGAATCAATCCTAATAACGACAAAACTTAAGCAATTTTATTTACTCGTCGTAGGTCCTATATTAAGATCTTTAATTCCCTTATACCATGGGTGAAGACTATTAAACACGTTGGGGTGCACTTAAACTCAAATTAAATTTCCGATACCATGTTGAAAAACTATGTACAAAATTGGGTGACCTCAGAGGATCTGACTTGTAGAAGAAGGGCCATCCTTACGCGATTGAGGATAGGCCACGCTAGGTTGACACACGGACTCTGACTTTTGGCCAAAGCCAGCGTACGAGTTCGGCATGTAGAAAAAGGTTGCTCGATGTGCCCAACCTAACTGAAGAGTGCAATACTTTGGCTCCATATAGAGAGCGAGTAGAAATGCAACCCTATTTGAGAATCGAGCTTGAGCAGGGAAGCGAATCTTTGGGTCCCCTTGTCCCGATTCATGGAGGTTGTTTTAGTTTATACAGTTCTTAAAGTGTTATGTACGTAGTGTGTTTGGAGTGAATGTATTTATTAGCGTGAATGTGTAGTATAAGAGGGTCGAGTACCCCATCGCCCCTCAATTAATTTAGTTGTATAATATTTGTAGAGGATGATGAATGAATATCGAGTACTTCCTCACTCACCCCAATTGAATGAATGACATGCACATAGGAGAGAATGTATTTAAGAATGAGTGTGAGTGTGAATGGGGTTAGAACTGCATCCATTGGGTGCTGAATGCTAGCTGTTGACAAAATCCGGAGCACAACAAAGTGGCTGGACGGATAAAACCGAGTTCTGCCCAGAGTGCCAATACCCAGGATGGGTGATTCTAGGGGCATTTTATTGCAAATAGCAAAAACTGGAATTGCCGGTTTACTTCGAGAAGCGATATGCTCAACTCAGTACATGTGTTATGTACGTACACGCATGTGCGCATTTGAGCTTATGTGGAGTCTAGTTCATCCTCCAGTATAAATCCCAGCTCAAACCATTACACCACCTTCTTCAAACTGCACTGAAGGTAGCACTGAGGCATTGTACGCATCTCCAGTTCTCGGTAGACTCTTCCGCGCCTGCTATCCTATACAAACAGAAACGAGACCCATCAGTAAACGCAACAGCATTCCAATTGGTGTTCTCTTCTAGGCTGCACTGTATTCTCCTGAGTTGCTGGTGGGGCTGTTACGAATTACGAATCGATTGTGTTGTTAAAGGCCTTGCCAAAACATCTTGTACTTCATTTAGGATCTGGCGGGGGGGGGGGTTCAAAAGGGTTCCGTTTTGCAGCAATGGCAATATTTCTGTCCTCCCTTAGTGTCGTAATACACCGAGATCCACTACCAGGCTTCCTATTGGCACTTCCAGTCTCTCGGAACTGGGCTAAAGATCGCGCCCTGAAAAACGCCAACTGTCTCTGGGATATCAACTTGCCAGTGACCTCGATGACTCATTCTCACAAAATATTGAGAACATGTGGTTCAAGATGATGTCTTCTGTCCATGGTTAAAGATAATATAACTGGAATAAAATGGAGAAAAGACGAGAAAAGGAGTTTGTTTACAAAATGAGAAATCTCTATATTTACTATTCTTAAGTAAATCCATTATTCAAAATGAGGATTAACCATTTTTTTTGTATTTTCTATTTTGTTCCAATTAACAAGAATAAATCGGTTAATTTAATTAAAATTAATAGAATAAGAATAAATTACAAATATTCCTATTCATTTTTGAGATTTGTTATGTTCGACAAGTAGGATTAATTAGGGGCGTCGGTGGCCGCAAGGTTTAGTCTTTGATACGGCGCTCATCACTGTAAGGTAAAGGTCCCGGGTTCGAATCCAGCGGCCCTGCATTCGAATCCNATATATACATTTGTTGCCAAGAATCAAATAGATAACATGACATTTGAGAAATGGCAAAAGGGAGGAAAAATTCAAAAGGTAGGGTTGAGATGGGAAGTTAGTGTCCGAGTGGATCGAGGTCACGATAGCTCAAGTGGTAGAGCGGAGGCGTATCAAGCCGAAGATCGTGGTTCGAATCCCGCTCGTGACACTGACTTTTTTATCTCAACTTAAAACCTTAATCGGTTAATTAATCCTTAATTAATTGAAAGATATTAATTGGTCAAGCGGACCACGAAAACTAGTGGAATTAAATATAAACACAAAAAACTGGAACAGATAAGGTTTGTCATTGATTTGCGATTTGTTAATCTCATTCTAGTCACACCATCTCTTATCTATTTATTTATTACTTACTTATACGTATTATTGATTACTTATTTATTAATTTGCTAGTTATTTTATGGTAAATGTAATTGTAGTTGTTACTCTTTGTACTTGATGTTTCTATTTAGTTTGTTAATTAGATAATTCTTGAATCTCATTGTACGCTGAGAACAACCACCATAACAGTAATAAGTAAAGTAATTTTATTATATACATAAATGTGACGCAGAAAACGAACAGAACTAAGAGATAGTTGGAATAAGCTTAAAGTTAAACAGCGACCTGTGCGCGCTTGAATAAAAACAATCTGAATTACTATCTTGTCGTTTTATAAGATCTAATTGTAATATTTTTAAGGTTTAGGAGAATAGTTTGTAAAAAATGACATAAATTTTGCTAAATCATCAATAGTTTGTACGAAACTTACCGGCAGAAGCCCAAAAATTGTATTTTGATAAATCTAAACCTGGGATTTTCCATTGGCCGAACTCCTACCCTTTGTGTAGTACAGTCACGGTAATGCTAGGGGTGCTTTTTAAGGGATAAAGATTGATTAATGGTAAAAGGCAAGGGTAAAATTAATAACCCCCTGAGAGAAGGGCGGGAACAATGGAAGAGTTTTGATACGAATTTATGATCCTTTTGAGAAAAATCAACGATCAACTTCAGAATTTCGTAAACAATATCAACAATTCACTATTTTTCGAGGTCCGCTTGACCAATTAATATCATTCAATTAATTAAGGTTTTAAGTTGAGATAAAAAAAGGTCACGATAGCTCCAGTGGTAGAGTAGCGGCGTATCAAGCCGAAGATCGTGGGTTCGAATCCCGCTCATGACACTGACTTTTTTATCTCAACTTAAAACCTAAATTAATTGAGTAATATCTACAATTGTAAATAACACAAAAACTTGAATGAAAGAAAAGGTTTTCACGATAAATATGTGCATCCAGTGGCCATTTTATTGTTGAATGAGAGTACAGTAATATTATTTACTATTTCCACCATACAGTGAACTTGATATTAAAAGTTACAATATAGTTAGAATAGTTTAAAATATCCTTAAACACGTTAAACAAATAGGCAATGGTGTTCTTGGAAAATATGTTTAATATTTAATAAACATTAAAGAATGTAAACAAATTTTTTATGTAGAGAATAACTTTTGCTTAATTTTAACAATTCATAAAAGCGGTTTAGAAATGATAAGTAAATATATCATTTAGTGCTGTTGTAACTTGAGGTCGACAACCTAGTCAATTTATTCTCCGCGTTGACCTTTGTCGCGTAAACCGTTGAATATAAATGACCACAGTGTCATGGTGTCGTTCGGACGAAATCGACCCGTTTTCTGTACAAAAAACTTGTACATGAAAACGAATTATTTTGTTCCGATTGCTTTCAGAGGTGAATTATTTTCAAAATACGTATCACGGAGTTGATCGTGCTTGATCGTTTGATTCCCACGGAATTTCGATAAGGTTGTGGCGTTCCAACAAAACGTTTAACCACAATGACAAAAGAAGGTATCTTCGTCGATGAAACTCTTTCGTACTGATTTACCTACAATATTTATATCTGGTCCTGGACCAAACCGGCGAGGATGAGCAGGCCAGGGTGGTCGGAAACGGCCAAACTACAGCCATCAGCCTGCAAACTTCGGGGAGAAACCTCAAAATATTTCTGTGTACAAATTCCGTGAAGTGCTTTAGGAGAAATGAATTGTGAGGTTTCTTGTAAGGATCAACGGGGTGAAGGACCTGAAAGTGTTAGTCTCGCCTTTTTGGCCTGTCAGAAGCGGTTCACAATTTAACCGTCTTCGTGGGTGGGGGATACGTTTTTCTGCGATTGAGTGTGTGTGTGTCTCTGAGAGAGAGAGGGGAGAGAGAGAGAGAGAGAGAGAGAGAGAGAGAGAGAGAGAGAGAGAGAGAGAGAGAGAGAGAGAGAGAGAGAGAGAAAGAGAAA